TGCACTATTCCCCCTCTCACCTCTTTTCATTTAGGAATTTGCAATGAATTCTCTCACTACTCATAGTAATTCAAGGAATAAATTTTAACTACATGTCCTGAAAAATTAAATTGCATTGCTGCAGATTTTGTTCTGTTAAAATGAAATAGTTAAGAATAAAGTCCTACCCTATTTATACAAGCCTTGATGCTGGATACTAATATTTCATCTGCTTCATTTGATAAGAACAAATAGAAGATAGATTCCAACTTGGAAGCTCTGTTTGGTCAGCAAAACATCTTCCAAAGGAACATCTGACGGAGAACACACAAGACCAATAGTGTTTGTTCTTAACTTACATCAAGCAAGGATCAGCTTGACCTTAGGCTGAGCACACTTTCTTCCAGTAAGGATCAGCTTGACCTTAGGATGAGCATAAATATTTTCCCCTGCAAAGCTGTTTGGAACATTTTTTAAAAATAGAAAATCCCAAAAATGTTCTCTCTGTATCTGTCTCACTCTCTCTCACACACAGTTAAAAAGACCTAAAGGGACTGAAGTGTGGAGTAGGATCTGCTGAGAAAATACAAAAGTAAAACTACTAAGAACTAACAGAATGTTCAGTGGACTCTGCACCAAAGTTCATTTTAATCAGATCATTCAAGTCAACTTAGTCTCTACATGTCAGTGAATGTAAAACAGAGATATGAAACTGCAACACACATTTTGTAGCATTTTGTCAAGGATTCATAGTATTTCACATACGTTTCCATTGTAGGCAAGGGTGGAGTCATTTTGGAGAGAACAATGGCTTCCTTGAATTCTCTTCTTGTGAGGAGATTATTGATGTGATATTCTGGTGCACAACTGACACTTTTAATCACATTGCTTCAGTAGCAATTAAACAAAAACCAATAACACAGAAATAATGGTGTGTAATAACCTTCTTCCTGGGTTATTTGACTTGAAAAGAATGCAGAGCTCCAAACACATAATAATAATAATAATAATAATAGTAATTTTTATTTATACCTCACCCTCCCCAGCCAAGGCCAGGCTCAGGGAGGCTAACAAGCATTAATAAAAACAAGTTGAATTATTACAACTTAAAAACAAAATTAAAATACAACATTAAAATATTGAAACATAAAAATATTAAAATGTAGCCTCATCGCAGGAGGAGAAAGGAAAAGAAAAAAGAAAGAGAGGGAGGGAATCAAATTGGCTCCAAGCCAAAGGCCAGGCGGAACAACTCTGTCTTATAGGCCCTGCGGAAAGAAATCAGATCCTGCAGGGCCCTGGTCTCATGAGACAGAGCGTTCCACCAGACCGGAGCCAGAGTTGAAAAGGCCCTGGCTCTGGTTGAAGCCAATCTAACTTCCTTAGGGCCCGGGACCATCTAGGGTGTTGCTATTTATGGACCTTGAGGCTCTCTGTGGAGCATACCGGGAGAGGTGGTCCCGTAGGTACGAGGGTCCTAGGCCGTGAAGGGCTTTAAAGGTCAAAACCAGCACCTTAAATCTGACCCTGTACTCCACCGGGAGCCAGTGCAGCTTGAAAAGCACTGGGTGAATATGCTCCCATGGCAGAGACCCCGTGAGGAGCCTTGCTGCAGCATTCTGCACCCGCTGGAGTTTCTGGGACAGCTTCAAGGGCAGCCCCGCGTAGAGCGAATTACAGTAGTCAAGCCTGGAGATGACCGTTGCATGGATCACTGTGGCCAGGTCGGGGCGGGAAAGGTAAGGGACCAACTGCTTGATGCGGCGAAGGTGGAAAAATGTCGCCTTGGCTGTTGCTGTAACCTGTGCCTCCATGGAAAGGGAGGCATCAAGGATTAAACCCAAACTCTTAACGGAAGGCAATAACCCAATAATGAACCCAATGCTCCATATATAATATTATGTACATATTTGAGGTGAAGATGTCTTCTGGGTGCATAAACTGAGGTAAGAAGACCCACAAACAGCTGTTGGTTTAGAACAAATAAATCTGGATCAGATCTTGATTGAACTATTTATGGTAGTTCATCCACAATTCTGCTTGTCTCGCTCCGTACCGCTGAATCAGAGTAAACATCAATCAGATTTTCCATGGATTTTCACTCCAACTGGAGAATAGCCTTTACCAAAGGTGTCATGGATTTTGAAGAAGCACGAATTCAGGACAACAGAAAAACAAGCTAAGAGGAAGGCACATTTGGGAAATCCTCGCCGTGATCAACTTCTGCCCAAAAACCATATGTCCCCACTGTGGAAGGATGTGTGGATCCAGAATTGGCCTCCAGAGTCATTTATGGATACACTGCTAAGACTGCGTTCATGGAAAACAATCTTACTCAGTCACAAGTGATCTCCAAGAAGAAGGAGCAAAAGGAAAACTACTCAGTCCTATGCCTAGAAAGCATGGGACATGTGAAAAACCTGTTGGACCCATGCTTTCTAGGCACAGGACAAGTGAAGTATGCACAAGCCCTTACAGTACATGATTACATCCCAGCTCAGGTTCCAACACAAATTCCTGGGGCCAGTATGCTATATGTAGATAGCATTTGTTTCTGCAAAAGAGGACACACATATGCATACTCTTTGTGCCATATGCAATTTCTGCCATCTTCTGTAAGGGGGGTATCCAAAAATAAATAAGTGGACACACACTGGAAATAAAATGTATGTTAGACAGATTGTCAACTGATTAAGCTTTCCCTGAAATTGTATTTCATACTAGAAAAGCTTAGCCTATTGATTTTCTGCCTGCCACATAGCTGTTAGAGGCACAAGAGCCTAGTCTTCCCCCAGTACCAACCTTAAACCATGTAAAAAAAAAAAGTGCTGCTACCATTTGCTTTTGGATGGACCTGCTACTGCACAGCCACAGCAGTACTAAAATCCCGGGTTTCTTAATTATTTCCTCTAGGCAACAATCACTTCCCTCCTGGGGAAGATGAAGAAACAGTCTCAGAATGAGCTAGTAAGTTCTTTCAAGACAAATCAGGCAGTCTTTATCCATTGTCTACACAGCAAAATTAGAGTCAGTCATGCAGCAAGGAATATCAAATCAGAGCTTCAAAATGAGCCAGAAAGTCCCTTCTACATTCCCTGGAGAAGGGAGTTATTTGAAGCCATTCTATGTTTTTCTTTGATATGTGTGCAACTCTATAAATTTTTCCATAACATTTGTCTTTCATGGCTGTGACTTCATTCGCTGTCTAAAAACACTGAAAGGTGGGGGCAGACTCATATCTCAAAAAGCAATTTCTTTGAATAGTGTCTGCACATTTTGTTTCATAACTTTCATTCTGCAATTGTTAGAGACCTACATTAATTCTTATTTTTATTTTCAAAAACATGAAAGCTCAGAATCTGGGGCCCCTGTTGGATTCCCTGTACCTGCCTCTTGGCAACCCTGCCTGCATCCTAGCACCATGCCAAAGTAGATGTTAATTTAAACCTCTTCAGTGAAAAACATTGTGTCTAGCTAAATATTTCAAAGCTGCCACTAATGCCCTGAAAAGATTCCTTAATTGGTTCATTGCCAAGCTTTTAACAGAGGTCAGACAATGTAATTGCAGGCTGGAACTTACACTTTCTATTGCCATACTATGCTAATTCCCAAACACTTAAATGATAGCATTTTAATGGGTTATTGTGAAGTAGCTTTATCAAACCGATCAATTCTCTCAGATAGGATTGCTACCGCTCATAAGTATAAAGCTGACATCCCATGACCAAGCTTGTTGTTGGTATCCATCTGTCTTAAGAGACAATAGAGTGCACCTCCAAGGGTGAAGTCAAACCACTGCGTTAACAGCACCAAAGTGACCTCCCTGGGGTGGAAGCCTAAGGAGTGTGTGTGGAGGTCCTGGGCTGTCCAGACAATAAGAACCCCGTCTTGGCCTCGCTGATGTGGTCCAAAGGAAAGCAAAGTAGTGAGGTAGGAGAGCTGGGGGGGATCACATCTGGCAACCAATGCACCCCTTTGGTTTCTCATAGTGTTTAAGTAATGTTAAATACTTTTGCTCACATTGGTTGTGGAATATATTGGCATAATTTCCAGCTCTTCTACCCCACTAGAGCAATATGTTTGGCACCAGCTTGGCTGCAGGAGTTGCCATAAGAAGACGTAGAAGGTGCCATCCAACTGTCTTAGGGACTCGGCTCCAGATTTGTGTAGGGTTTACACCTTAGCTTTTTCTTCTCCAGAAGATATCCTGCAAGGCAGAGGAGGTTTAGGATCAAAGTTGTCCTTGTCTTGGACATCATAATAATACCTTCCAAGGTTGATGAGCCCCGTTCGCCGTTCACTTCCTTCTAGCATGTGCAGAAATGGCCTTCTTGACTGTTGGACCCACTGATGGTCTTGTCCACTCAATCTGCCGGTGCCTGCCTTCACATGCAGGGGAAGTCTCTAACTCACCGAGGGTTTGAGGCCGATTAGATATCCTCACCTGATTTAGCCAGCCAAGCTAAGGGCCAAATAAACCACATGTTTTTTCTGTCTCACAAAGAACTGCAAAAAAAAAATATGGGATGGGGGTTGACAGTCATTGGACATCTCACTCCCCTGGTTCCCTGTCTCTACCACACACTCTTTGGAGCCTTGCCAGTCAATGGCAAGTAACCAAGACCGCCTCCCCCCACATGAACCAACCGAGTCCCTTCGATCATCTGAGGCTCTTCTTCAAAAGAGGTCTGGTGGGCAGCAACAGGCCTTTTATGTGGTGGCTCCCTGCTTGCAGAATGCTGTCCCAGGGAGGCTCACCTTTCCCTGAGAGTGATGGATGAAGAGAGGTATACAAATTGTATAAAAAATAAAATAAATCTTTAGGCATCAGGAAAAGCCATTCTTTTTCTCCCAGGTCTTTGGCTAATTAAACAATCTATGGCCTTTTAAACTGTGGGTGGGGGTATTGTTTTTGTTTGTTATTATGCTATGTATTTTTGTGTTTTTTATGTTGTAAACCATTCTGTTATCCTCAGATGAAGGGTGGTATGGAAATATAATAAATAAATAATCAATGAATAATCAAATCTTGATTTAATTAATGCAGGTGTGACCTTAGGCAGGTCTGACTTTGTCAGGAGTGGGCACAGCTGGAGCACCACCCCAGGCTGAAGAAAGTCGCTCCTGGCCACCAACATCACCTGGTCATCCAGATGCATCAGCGCTCTCTGGATTTTTCAAAAGTGCTACATCCCCTCCAAACCACTCTATTCCAGAGTCTTCCTCCTGTGTTGTGCAGATCAAGCTTCATTTTGATAGCCCACATCCAGTCTGTTCTCTTCCAGGAATCAAATTCTTCCATGGATTAGATGAGAAAGACAAACATTCTGGGGGGAGTGGAGAGATAGGGCATGGTTACTTGATATGCATTTGAAAACCTTCCCCTTTTCCTCCCTGCACATGTCCCAGGTCAAGAAGTGGTAACTGTGATCTTGATAAACACTTTCCCACACCATCATTCCCACAAAGTCTACTTCCGTTTCCAAATGGATACACTATGGGGCAATGCAGAATCAAACTGCAATGAACTGTTTTTGGAATGAAACCAGTTTCTCAAGAAGCACTTTTGAAGGGCAAAATATGTGATAAATCTAGATTGTGTGTGGACTATGTAGAAAAGGCAAGAATTTGGTTTCCATTTATTCTATTTATTTATTTTAATGCTCTGCATACGTTGCTTCAGTTTCTCCATTCAAATCTAGTCCTTTACAAATTCCAGCTTCAGAATAGTGTCTCATTTCTATCCTGATAATAGCAAACACCAAATGTCCCAATGAGCCCCACCTCAGTGATCTCCTGTTAAAGAGAACAGCTTGGGGACACCAAAGACTAAGAGGTCAAGAAAGAGTTGCAAAACCTCAGGCCCAACCTACAAGGGCATTCCAGGTGGACACAATGATTGATGGTATCACACGCTGCTGAAATATCTGGTAGAGAATCTCATTCCCTTATCCATCTCCAAGTGTAGATGGCCAACCATCTCAAAACTAGGACTATTAGACGAGGTATCTTCAAACTTTTCACACCCAGGACCCTCTTTTACTCCAAACTTGCATTTGGGTTTATTAATCTTTTGTCATATACAGTATTTGCATGACGATAGTGCTCCTGTTGTGATCCACCTTGTATCAGGTAATGACCCACCAGTTGAACACCATTGTGTTAGATAAAACTTAAGAGAGATCCCTTGCCTGCTTGCCCTCACAGTTCCCATCATTCCCTAAGGAGCTCAAAAAACTATTAACACTTTTTAAAAAGCAGTGGTGCACATATGCCCAGAATAAAAATGCATGCATCCTATTAACTATGAGCATTTCCAAATTTTGTAGATGTAGCCAAAATTACCAGAGGAAAGAACAGGCTTTTCCTCTGCCCCATCCCCTTGTTCATGATCAGAGCTCTAAAGCCAAAAGAACTTTGGGCCCCCTCAGAATAAAGCAGTCCTTCTTGCTCCAGACAGGGAATTGTTGAGCGCTCAGAAGGCAGGAGCTAGTTCACTGAATATGCACCAAAGCATTTGAAGTTTTAAAACCAGCATGTGCTTAAGGAAGAGTCAAGTGAAGCCCCATGGAAAAACCAGGCAGACTTTCAAATGCGAACATTGAATTTTAATGAGCACAGAGAGCTACTGAGGGAGCAGCTTATTCCATGGCAAGTGTAAGGTATCATGGCTGACTGGCTTAAGGGAGGCAGCAAAATAATAATAGAAATAATAGTAAAGTTTATATTTAAGGCATCGTCTTTTTGAATTACTTCTGCGACATAAAGGAACCTCCACAGAAGTGCAGAGCTGTAAATTCCCTGCTTCAGAAATATCTCAGAGATACAAGCAAAACATGGGAAACGGTAAAAGAATTCCATGGTGTAAACAAGCTAAAGTACATCTGTGTGGAAAAGAATTTCCTCAGAGCTAATACTTGACATCAATCAATGTGCCGTTATTACACCTTTGCTGCTAAGAGACGGAAGTACTTAAGCCACATTATGTAGTAATAGACGAGAACAGATGGCCATTTTCTCACAAGAGCATTTCTTGAACAGCTTTCTGTATTATGCTTAACTTTGTAACTGAAATACGCCTTGCTATACTTCAGAATTTTACTTCAGAATGTCCAAAGACAAATAAAAACAAGGAGAGAAAAAGATTAGAATAGAAGATCTACGGTGATGCCCAAAAGGATGGGTAGAACGTTGTCATAAGGCATGTTCACACTTATGTTTGATGTACACTCCCCGTGTTTCCAGGGCTGTATTTTTAAGGTGTGCTCACACAACGCTCTCAATAAAGCATATAATCAACAAGCGGCTAGTAGGGAAATTCAGGAAAGCAGTGAGTGAGCAGTTCAGCGTTTCTTTACATTTCCCCCCAACAGTGCAACACAGAACTTATCACTCGGGTCTTGGGCATGGCTCCTCATTATGAGACCTTGCCCCATCACCAGCTAAATGAAGATACACTGCATTTTGGCACCCTGCACTCAAGTCACTCCTGTGCACCTTAATTCACTCCTGCCTTTTGCATACAGCAACATATTAGAAATAAGGCTGGGACTTGGTTAATAAAATTTAAATTAATTAATTGTGGGTTTTTAAAAATTAATTAAACTATTGATTATATCTGCATATGGATAAATCCAGTATTTCTGAACCAAGAAATATAGTTGTTTGTTTGGGGGGGAGAGCTGTAGTCATGCTTAGAGTGGGCCCACTGAAATCTAAGTCTAGATTCAAACATTTGTTTTTAGATGGCACACACAACTACCATAGAAAGCCTCATCTTAGAAGAGGGGGCATTCCTCATGTGGGACAAAGAAATAAAATGTCTCTTAAGGCAGTGCCTGCCATCTGCAGTATTTATGAATACTTGTATTTTTTTATTTTAAAAAAATGCTGCTCAATTAATTGGCCCATTTTTTAGTCAAGGTGGTTTTTATTTATTATTCTCATTGATAAACTGACTAATCATTACAGCTGTAATTATTTCCAAGCTGGATTGGTTGTATTGGTAAGAAATAAATATGTCAGAACTAGACAATTGTTGTCATAGAGATATGGGGGTGGTCGGTTGTTTAGCTAGATCTTCAGGTGCTATGAAGAAGAGATGCAAAGCAAGCAGAGTGTTTCATAATGTAATACCAGGCAGTCAACTATGGCTTAGTTCCTTGTGATCCCACTGTTGGTCTGCAGTCAAAATTCTAAGCCACACTAGTAGGAAATCTCAAACATTTATGTGACAAAAGGAATAATAATGATGTTTCTATAGCACATTCTGGGAGTTCAAATCACAGAAACGTCTTAACAACGTTATGGCTGTATTTTCATCCCCGTATTGAAGGGAGGGAAAGACTAGGTCCATGAACCAGATGTGAGAAATTGAAAGGAAGGAGCTCTCAGAAACCATTTTTTTCTCAATCATCACTTTCCACCCTTAATATGTACAAAAAAGCAAGATATATGCAACTTGCACAAAAGCATTTTTGTTAAGATATCATTTCAGCAAACCTAACCACTGATGTGACTGAATAGTAAGTGGCATGTTTAAAATCCCTTCATCTCCTCTGTGGTTACCAGAACTTATCTCATCTACTATTAATCCTGAATTGTCCAAATGTCCTGTCACTGTTCAATCACTGCATGAATCCAAACAAACAGCAGCCGGCTCTCTTTTGGGTGAATATCACAGCTTCCCAAAGAGGTAATGCTCATGTCTGAGGCAAGTAAAGAAAAAAAACCTCATAGCAATTTCACAGATCAAATACAAGTAACCAACAGGCCAGCAGCTGTGCTGGAGCATTTACCTTCAAAATTGGCTGCTGTATTCTGCAGAACAGAGGAAGAAGAAGGAAAACCCCAAAAGAGACTGATAACAGCACACAGCTGTTTATGTCGAGCATATCTGGTTCAAGCAGCTAAAATTATACCCCTTGCATCTGCCAGGAACCTGAGAGGATGCTGACCCAAGCAAAACCTGGCCTTGTTGCAATGAACTGAATGGCAAAGCAACGGATGCCCACTTTGACAAGATTTTCAGCGAAGTTATATCCTGCAGCGATTATTTTGAGATAGAAAATAATGTGGTCTTGCAGATCGCAATTCCCAAAGTCCTTTGGAGGACTCTCTCCCATAATATTTCAGTGGCGTTCAGTAGCAGATTGCCATCTCACCAATTTTAAAGTAGATTTACAGGCTGTCTCTTGACCAACACCCAATTCACCCTCAATATTGTCAATAGGAAGAAAAGGAAGGAAGGCTCTGGAAAGATCCAGGCAGCAGATGCAGTCATGCGCCTTTGTTTGAGATTTCTTACACTCTAACTCAAGCAGGTACAGGATGAATTATGCAAATAATGTGTTATGTTTTCTTTGCACACTCTTAACATGCTTAGAGAGAAGAGCAAAGTCCTTTTTTTAGTAGTGAAGTACAGTGGTACCTCAGGTTACAAACACCTTGGGTTACAAACACCTTGGGTTACAAACACCTTGGGTTACAGACTCCGCTAACCCAGAAATAGTACCTTGGGTTAAAAACTTTGCTTCAGGATGAGAACAGAAATTGTGCACTGGCGGCGCGGTGGCTGCGGGAGTCCCCATTAGCTAAAGTGGTACTTCAGGTTAAGAACGGACCTCCGGAACAAATTAAGTTCGTAACTAGAGGTACCACTGTACGTTGTGACGGGCAGCTGAGCTAGACCTGATTCTGTTGATGTAGTGACTTGGAATTCCACCAGAGGGCTGAAGAGTCTCTTTGACTGGCCACCAAGCCAGAGATGGGTGGAGCAGCGCTTTGGGAAGGAAAATAAAATGAGCTGTTCAGAGAGTTGGAGAGTGAGAGAGAGCTGGTTCTGATCTGTGTGTAACATCCACTCTGAGGAAAATATCTACAGCCAAAGAAAGGAGTCTGTGAGTTTAGATAGAAAGGCAGTGTTGAGTGTCTTGGGAGAGTATGGAGACAGGAAGGCTGAGTTGGAGCAAGGAGAAGTAGAAGCTGTGAGCAGTGAGAAGTGGCGTAGCGTGGGTTGCTGACGTCCGGGGTGGGCAAGCCCCCGACACTGCCAGAATGCCCCGCCACCAGAGCCAAGTGGGTCCACGCTGCACCACCTGCCCACGGGCGAGCCCATCTGGCTGATGCGACCCTTGACAGGCAATCCCCCTGACACCCACAAAGAGGAATGCTAGACCAGGCTGCACTGGGGTCACCCCTTGCCCACCTCCCTCCATCCACACCCACTCACCATGGGTCTGAGTTGCTCAGCTGCCTTTGCCAGGGCGGTGCAGGGATCCCCATGGAAGCTGGTGCCTCTGTGGGACCACCTGGTTGTGCCCCCTCACAATTGGTAGCCAGAGCGGTGAGCTCACAATATATCATAGGAAGAAACCTGGTAACAGAAAGTATATTGGAACTCTCAGGCCTGCTTAGTGAGATGGAGAACCTGTGCCTCTCCAGGTGCTGTTAGACTCGGCTGGAAAACTCTATTCCAAAATGTAGAGAAGTCTGGATTTCACAGAATAGGTATGTTGCCGTGACAACCCCCCCCCCCCCCGAGCAAGGCCTGAGCCAAAAAGGGGAACAAACTGGACAAGACAATGTTCTGGAATTTAAACACTGACCACAACCTTTATTGATTCCAGATGTAAGTTGGACTTGGCTTAGGCACTGGGTGTATATCCCTCACAGCCGCCCTGATGGAGGGCTGTGGTGTGACAGGGTGAAGCCCAGGATTAATGGGTCATTCACAAGTCACAGGTCTACCCGAATGACCCTCCCAAGCAGCTGAAGGAAGCTATATGGCCCATCTGCCACACACCTTGTCTTTTAGAAAGAGGCTTCCTACTAACCCTCTAACAAGGTACCCTGTCATCGCATGGTTCTGGGGTGGGGGTGATGCACCACTTCATCCCCTGCATGTTGTTAGACTGGAAGGATTCCAACGTCTTATCTGCCAGAGTTGTGACTATTGCATGGGGAAAGCAAAACCTCCAAATGGGGCCAATCTGTTTGGAGGAAAAATTCCTTCCCGGCTCTGAAAATGGCAACCATTATTGAACCACAGAAAAGCCCATGAATGCAGCGCCCTAAAAGGGAAAAGGTTAGCCTACATAATCCCACTGTGTCATTGAATGGGGGTATAGGGAGGGTTGTTCTTTGGCTGACAGCACTCCATGGGGTCGGCTGCAGCCAGCCTTTATTGGGTCCCACGCCCCTCCCACCTGGGCCAGCCGGATTGGCCAGGATTCAAGTAAGTCGATGGCGGGGAATTTCCCACAACTGGCCACCTCACCCTGGCAATGCTTCCAAGGAGGAGGAGCCCAGCACAACAGGTTGCAACAGCCAGCCACCCTGTGACCAGGTAAGCAGCCATTTCTGTTTGCACATTGTATCAGAAAATGCAAATCCTGTAGATTCACCTTTAAATGTGAACCAAATCAAATTTCTCCCTCATCCCTAAATGTAAGTTGGACAGTGGGGCTTTGGCACCATACAAGACAAGACAACCATGTTGCTCAACTTTCTTTTGGGGCAGGGGTGTCAAGGGGTTCACTGAATATGTTTCCAGGAACATTGGGAAGTACGCTCAGAATCTTTCCTTTTAAGGAAGCTTTTGGTTTCTAAATGGTTGTCTTTTCTGCACAATAAAATCACTGGATTTACAATGAAGGTTGAATAAGGAGAGTAGGGAGAGATGTACGCTATTTAGCAGAGCTATGGAGTCTACATAAGAAAGTCTGAAAAGGGCAGGATCGAAGCCTCAGGCCAAATCTAAGTGAGCGGTTGCAACTTGTGATGCCTCGTTTTCTAGACCCCTCTTTGGCCTTTCCATTCCTGTCAAAGATTGTCTAGGTAAGAAGGAGTCTGATCTCTCTCATTCTGCCGTTTCCCATCCTTGCCTTTGTGTATTTATATTTGTCATCAACCTTTCTATCCTGTTTTTCCTTTAACAAAAATCCAGCAAATCCAATCAAAGTGTTTCAGTCATCTTCAAACAGAGAACATTTACTGCAGTTGATATCAGCTCATGTCAAAGAAAATTAAAATCTGCTGATTAGCTGGGGGAAAAGTGAAACAGAACACATAGAAGATATTTTAGTTTTTCTTTAGAATTTGTAATCTTTTACAGCAAATGGAGAAAGGAAACCAAATTTCACAGTGACCCGATACACAATTAGATCTTCAGCAGCAAATGTATCCAGGTTACTGAACATCTGCAGAGTAGAAGGAGGACAGTTTGAGCGAGTAAAACAGGGGTTATGGAGGGTTTTTAAAAATCACAACTGCGTCTACTCACTTTATCTTTTTTTTCTGTGTTCAACATAAAACACACACATAAGAAAAACACCAGCTAAATCATTAAAACAGACTAAAAATTGCACAATTCAATCAGTTAAATAAATTGATATCTCTCTCTCTCTCTCTATATATATATATAAGTGTGTATGTGTGTGTTTGTGTAGCCTGTGTTGGTGCCAGGTGAAACTATTTGGCAAAGGATTTGATGATCCTGCACCCCAATCCCATTTTGCTTTTCTTGTTTTTTGTGTCAAGTTAGGAGAGGAGTGCAAGAAGGAAACGATTTAAGCACGCATGCATGTCCATGCACATACCACCTGTCATTCCTTTTCTAAACAGAGCGAAAGCGGCAGTCCAGGACCATGCTTGCTGCTAAATGGCTAATCCCACTCTCAAAAGTCTTACAAGACAGGAAATAACAATCTAAAAAGTCATGTATTACCAGTCAACCAAGTGCTACCTGTTTGTCTGGCATGCATTAAGCAACTACAGTTTGAAGACTATGTCTTTCCTTGAACTGCACAAACCTCTGCCTAAATTTATTATGCATATATTGCATTAATAGTGTATAGTAAATGTTAAAATAAATACTAGAGGTCTGAGTCAGCAATTAGTGTTAGCCAGAGACACAGAAGGGAATGAAGAATCAAGCTGTTCCAGCACAAGTCCTTAGACATGGCAAGAATTTCAATGAGAGCATTGAAAATAATGTATGAAGCATCACCAACCAGCTACTAACTTTAAAAAAACCTTTCAAATACATTATCTCAGTAATCATAATACTTCTGCCCACTGGATCCCCACTGGAAAGGGGAAAGGAAGCTGAGGCTAAGAAAGCAGTTTGCATAAGAAGGTGCAGCAAGTTTGTATTTGATGAAAGATTTGAACCAGGAACTTTGTTCCTCCTGCTTTGCTGCTGGGCTGCACCAGCTGGCATCCTTAAATTGCTCTACTTTTGACAATCAGGTTCTGCCAGGAAAAATAAAATGTAAGAGCCTGACATCTATCTCATAATCTAGAAATGGAGACCCTGTGGCTCCCCGGATGCTGCTGTGGCTAATGGTCAGAGGTGGTGGGACTTGTAATTCAACAACATCAGGTGGGAAGTGAGACTTTGCACTGGCCATCAGGCAATGGCTTTTCCCACTTGTCTTGCCCCCCTCCAGCCCCAGGAACCTTCAGAAAGGAGTTGCTGCCACTGGCATTATGATGTCTTTGATGAACTGAAGAGAGTGGGAAATTATGAGTCATGCAGGTGGGGAGACTGTGTATAAATTCACCAGTACTTATAGATTATTTTTTATTGCTATTTTGTTGATGTTGTTAATATTGTTTTATAGATTATGAATCCTGTAAAATGATTTATTCTTTTGTAATTGTGCTGTTTATCTTATTTTTGTGATTGTTTTGTTAATAGTGGTTTATAGAATTTAATTGTTTCACTGATAATCTGTAATTGTTTTACTGATGATTTGTTATTTATTCTATATGCTTAAAGTTGTAATTGTGATGTTCTGTTATGTTATTGTTATTTATTGTATGGAAACCGCTTTGTGTTTTTGGGAATGAAAAGCAGCATAGAAATATATCATATCATCTTGAGCTTTCTTGAAAGATCTCTAAGAACCCAACTAGAGATATTTCCAAGACCTGCTGTCAGAGGTCCTATCTTGGAGATGCTTTACCTACTGAGCCATGAACCAAACTTTTAAACTGCAGGACCAGGCATTGGACTCCCCATACCCCAACCCATATAAATAAGAGACCAATATGACTGGTTTTGGGTCAAAACAGGCCACAACTTTATTGAATACAGATGGAAGAGGTTTGGCTTGGGCATGGGGCAATCTAAATACTTCCAGCCCGCGCACCGGAAGTGACGCGGGGTCAGTCTAGGATGACCCCCGCAGGTACCACCATCTGGGGGAGTGCCTTCGGCCCTGGCCCCCCTGGGCATGCAGACATGACCATTCCCCCTGGATCCCTTTAACGGGATACCCCAGCATTTGGAGGGACAGGCGGAGACTGCAACCTCCCCTCCATCCAAAACAAAGGATTGCCCCAATGCCCAAACAGTTGTGACAATTGCTATGAGATAGGCAGAACCACTGGGTCAGAGCCAATTAGCCTGGTGGGCAAATTCCTATCTGGCCCCATAAAGAATGGTGACCACCGGAGCCATAGCAAAGTCATTGACTATCAGAGTAAACCATGTGTGGGTGAGTGGGGAAACCCGGTGCAGGAACAAACAGGCTGCGCCCCAGGTGCTGGCTGCTTAAATGGGCAAGGGGCATTGCAAGGGAATTCCTCCATCGGCTCCACCCCTGGCACAGCCCAAGTCCCAGCCTGCAGCCCCGTTTGCCAAAGCAGGGTGCAGGCTAGGATCCAGTTCCTGATAGGCGGAGGGGGGTCATGCCTATCAGGAAGGGCACTGCAGTTTGAATTCCCTCGCCGGGGCCCCAGTGAAGCCTCATCCATCCCGCAATGCCGCCTCACCCAAAAAGGGCTGAGTGGACTTCTCATAGCAAACGTTTTCAGCTTCTGCCTTCCTCAGTTGCTCTGATAAAAGTGGTGCTGTTTCTAAGGTGAGAGTTATAGACCTTTGAAGATGGATTGCTCAAAGTACCTTCATTCACAGAAGCTAAGTGATAATAGTACTGTCCTCTAGGTTGAGACCATGAGGACTTAGTGTATCTAGTGTGTCCATCCATAAGTTATCCCTTTCTGCTAATATAATATTGTTGGAAGATAGATTGATAGATAGATAGATAGATAGTTTATTATGTTATATATATATATATATATATATATATATATATATATATATATATATAGTGTGTGTGTGTGTGTTTGTATATACACCAAACACACACCTTTCATAGTAATGTCATAGTACAGTACATTTAAAGAGAGAGAGAAAAGAAGACTACAAAGTCCTTTTCTCAGGTAAATATTAACTTGTCCAACACAGAGAGAGGTGAACCCTCCCATCTCTCACCTGGGAGCTTCCTTTCTTCTCCCACCCTCCCACCCTGGGAGATCTTCCCTTCCCTGCCTGTCGTCATGCAGAGTCCTTCATCAAATAATATTGTTGGATCTGTTGGCATCTCTATAACAACTATTTATAAATCCAGCAGGCTGTGGTTCTCAAAACAGTTTGTGATTTTGACAAAAAGTGAAGCAGTCAAAACAAGTTTACCAATCTGTTGCTAAACTTCTTTTGGTTGCTCCACTTTGTCAAAATCACCAATTTGTTTTTTCCTCAACATGGGCATAGGTCAGCTGTAATTTTACAAATGGATAAAATATCCTTCTGGATATTTGCATTCAGTGATATGGACCAGCAGGTCCTGTTTGATGTACAGTGGTACCTCGGGTTACATACGCTTCAGGTTACAGACTCCGCTAACCCAGAAATAGTGCTTCAGGTTAAGAACTTTGCTTCAGGATAAGAACAGAAATCGTGCTCCAGCAGCGCGGCAGCAGCAGGAGGCCCCATTAGCTAAAGTGGTGCTTCAGGTTAAGAACAGTTTCAGGTTAAGAACAGACCTCCGGAACGAATTAAGTTCTTAACCTGAGGTACCACTGTATCCTGTTGTTGCGGGTCCAAGCATTGTGCTCCCCGGTCCCCAACCCACAGTGAAATAAAGGAGTGGTTTGGATCATAGACTGGTTTGGATCAAAACAGGCCACAACTTTCTTGAATATAGATGGAAGAGGTTTGCTAATCTGGGATGCAGACTAGGATCCATCTTCTGGATGCAGTTCCCTCATTGGGGCCATGGAAAAGCCTCTGCCGTCCGGCAACACTGCTGCACCACAAAGCGGACTTGTTAAAGGCACCCTCATATATTTATTGAGGATAAATATTCCAATGAATTCACCAATATTTTCAGCCTCATCTTTCAGCGATCAGCAGCTTTGGGGGTGGATAATTTTGAGCAGAGAAGTGATGGATGAAAGAGAACCTTAACCCCTTTCCTGTCAACCACATCTTCTCCAAAGTGGCTCATGCCAAAGCAGGTTTTCCCTCGGAAAGAAAGCCCTCAGGCTTTTCTTATGTTCATATTTATGTATTGCGCAATTCTCAGCCCTACTGGAAATCTTGGGACATGCATGTTTGAAAACATCTTTGGATTGCCATCTTCACTACTTCATTGCAGATAAAAATTCTCTTTTCTGCTTCTAAGTCTGAAGCCAACTAAAGTAAATATTTCACATGCAGCTACTCTCTGAAGTGGCATCATTTTTCAGCCATTTCATCATTAAAGGCTGAAGGGAAAATCTGAGAGGAGAGAGATGAACCTGACAGATAAAGATTGCACTGAACTGCCAAATTACAGCAACAAGCAAAACTCAAAAGTGGTGGACTGGCAGTCAAGGCTTATTCCTTTATTTGCTGAATAGATTCCATACATTCCAGTGCAAAAGTATTTAAGCTTTATATCTCTTTCAACCCTTCAAAAAGGATCCTCAGTGCATTTATTTCAATTATAATTGAGAATGGAAAGCTATAATTTACACCTATTATTTGCTTCATTGCAATTTGAGGGTTGAAAACCTCAAAGCTTCCAAGGTTACCTGGAGCTTGTGCCAGATTTTAGTCCAAGTGTCAGAAAGGTAAATACAAGCAAGCAGTCACTTACCACCATGCAGGTTAAACCACTTGGAAAAATAATAATCTGTACCATTCTGACAATAACTTGACTGCTCTTCTACATTTAGAAGCTTGTTCAGGACAACAGTAGTATTTTACATAGAAGGAGTTCTGCAGCATCTTAAAAACTAATAAGTTTATTGTAATATAACCTTTTGCGCACAAAAGTCCACATTGTCATATATGCATGTAGTTTACTCTCAGATGGCAGGTGTGTGTGGACACCCACCCACAACAATACAGAGAGGGAAAGAAGATTGTAAACAATGAAGCCAAAAGGCCATGAAATGTATGGAATAACCATAGGCAGGTCACATGCCAATGCAAAGATGAAATATATAGGATGAAATCTGGGTCACCCACAAACAAGCTTCCAAATATCTAAGCCCAAAAGCAAAATATTATATTTGACACTTCAGTCAAGCAAACAGCATGCAAGTGTCAGCACACAGAACTATGTGAAGATTCAGCCAACTGAAGAATCCCTTGTATTGTCAAAAATGTGTTTTTATGTAAAATATTACCTGCTGATTTGAGAAAGCTGACTTAATTCAGCCTTTTTTTTTAAATCCAAACCAACCACAGAACTATCACTGTAGGAAAACCCCCACCAAGAATTCAAATGGCATTTACTATGGCTTGGAGTCTGACTAGGGCTCTGCAAACAGACAGGGTCCTTCCATTAATGACTAGAACCAAGATGCAGTGGGAAATTGTACCAAAAGTAGGGGGGTGCCCTTCCCCTTGCAGCTGCCAGCACTGCATCTCATTCATCTTCGGGAGAGTCCCCAATCCTCCAGAGCACTTCTAATGCCCTTGTAGAGCCCAGTTAGCAAGCTGAGACCTCAAGGCCACTTGACCACTGCTCTTGAATGGACAGCTAAAAGCAAAAGAGATATGCATATATTTCCAGTACACTCCCCCCTCCCCCCAAAAGGGACAATGACACAGATACATTGTGGTTGTGACTGTGATAATGTGTAGCAGAGGATGTGAGCATAGGTGCAGGCTGTGCTTTGCTGACCTGAAAGTCTTGAGATCTGCCTTAGGTCATGATATTTACCTGGGCCCCACGTTTTGGCACCTAGATATCACTGGGAATGGCCATAAGTGTTATGCTAGGTAGTTGGGGTTCAGTTAATGAAAAGGATTATGTTACAGTGTTGGGGTTAGCCAAACTAAATTGCTTTGTACTAATATCACTGGGGGCAACCTTCAAGAATTACTTTCCTTGCTCTGTGGGCAAACATGAACACTTCCTCTAGTTTTAGTTCATAAGCTAAGCTCTACCTTAAGTTTCCTCTAGATTCCAGAAATCTTTTGAGTAACATGAACTTTTGAGTTCAAATATATAAAAGGATGTCACATAGAGGAGGGAGAAAGGTTGTTTTCTGCTGCTCCAGAGAAGCGGACACGGAGCAATGGATCCAAACTACAAGAAAGAAGATTCCACCTAAACATTAGGAAGAACTTCCTGACAGTAAGAGCTGTTCGACAGTGGAATTTGCTGCCAAGGAGTGTGGTGGAGTCTCCTTCTTTGGAGGTCTTTAAGCAGAGGCTTGACAACCATATGTCAGGAGTGCTCTGATGGTGTTTCCTGCTTGGCAGGGGGTTGGACTCGATGGCCCTTGTGGTCTCTTCCAACTCTATGATTCTATGATTCTATGATTCTATGAACATTCCTCTTCAACTAGGCCTTGGGCTGATTAATATTCTGCAGCCTTTTAAATGTATCTGTGAGAAGGGCGAGGTTATTTTGTTGTTGTTTTGTTTTAATCATTTACTTCTTTTGAGCCTGTATTTTATTCTGTGAACTGCCCTGAGATCTATTGATGAAAGGTGGTAGGTAAGGAAAGAAAAAAATAAATGGTGACAAGGGGGAAGGGGACAATCAGTGAAAGCTATCTCTCTCCTTTCCACTGATACGAGCACCATGTGATCAGAACTCTACTCCGCAGATACTCCTGCTCATGGAGCTGACTCAAGCTTATTTCTATGGAACACCAATGAAGAGAAATAACATGTTAGGGGAGATAAAAAAAGAAACCCTGAATTATATAGGCCAGCGGTTCCAAACTGGTGGTCCGCAGACCCCAGGGGGTCTGGAAAACCCACCCAGAGGGCACAGACCCACCAACTGTGTGAGACATCCTGTTTGGGGGGAACACATGGAAACGCACAAGATCGCAACCACATGCATGTCTCATGCAAGATCGCAGCACCAAAAAATGTGTGTTTTGGGGCACCATGCTCTCACGTGAGTCATGTAACTTGCACAGGAGCGCAGACTGGTTTTGTGCTGCTCATTTTGGAGGGTATACTGGCACCATTCACATAACAAAAACTACCACAGAGATATCAACATATTCAAAATTAAGGGGTCCATGGCTTGGCTTTCGAGTCTGCTATATTTAGCTAATTGGGAACCACTGGTATAGGCCATTGAGTAGACTCAATAGTCCAGCACGTACCTGGGAAATAATAGGTGAAGTAAACATATTAATCAGTTGAATGGAAAGACTTTCAGTCACAAGACAGATAACAGTTCACTGAAGTACTCTCCAAGGCCTTTCCAGGTTTCCATTTCTAGCCATGTGCTGTGCTAGAGACCTAAAAAAAAAAGTTGTGGTGAGATTGTAGTAAAAGAAAGGAACATCAGTTCTTCTATGCCCTTTTGCCACTTCTCATAACTAACAGTTCAGTGATTTAAAATGTGATGGAAGATCCTGTTTCGGTTCCTTATAACAGTTAAGGGAGAGATCCTATGCACATAAAACTGGCATGAAGCAAGCCACTGTAAGTTAAGCCTCTGTAAAGTTACACCAGGGCCAAACTTGGTTCAGCAGGAGGACTACTGATGGCTGAGCTGGCCTCAGCCTGGCAGAGGGAAAACAAGGCTTTAAAATAGTGTTTGAGTTACAGAACCCTGTTTGCCATCTTAACTTATGCCAGATTCCTAGATAATGTGACTGAGCAGAACAGGTTTAGGAACCAGCCTAAATCTGCTCCTCTACAGTTCTCCAGAACACTCCTTTTTCAGGGCTTAAGATCCTCCAGGCTCAGCTCAGAAGGGGGGTGGAATATGCAGGAGATCCACTGGATCCTAACCTACTCATACCAGTGGATCTTGCTCCCTAATCATATGACATGAGATGTTTCCCAGTTCTTCTTAATTTTTAATAATAATTTCTTAATCTGTCATCAAGCTATCTTTTGAAATTAGTAAAGTTCAAGCTTTTAGTCAGAACACTGCACACTTTGGGGGGGGGGGATGGGAAAAAGTATTTTGCGCCCTGCCCTCTCTCATTGGGCAAAGGGGGGCTGGACCAAGGGAAAACTTGGAAAACCAGTTTTAATTCAACGGATACCACCCAATGCCTACAATTTAATGCAAGAGAAGGCAACACAAAAAACAGCAATGGAGCAGAGGAATTAAAATGCAAACATCATTAGACTTCCGGGTTGGCGCCTGTGGCAATGGCGGATTTCCTCCGGGAGGAATCCGCTCCGTGGAAAACAGGGTCTGAACCGCCACGGCGAGGCGGAGACCCATCAAAAACCACAGACGGGAGAAGCCTGTGGATGTGGGATTTGGCTGGCACCTTTGCGCCCCCCCTACTCGCGGGGAAACCCTGTTTTGGGGATCCGGAGCGACGTGGGGTGAGTGGTGCGGTGCTTTGAATCGACTGCTTCTTTCACGGAGTGAAGCCGCATTGCTGTTGCCGGAGAGCACTGATTTTTCCTGTGGACAATTGGATTTTAAACAACTGCCCATGAATAGAACGGAAAATTGGATTAAGAAATTTTTTAATTTGGCACTGAAGCGGGAAGGTCTAAACAGGAAGTCCGTCTTCCGCTTTTTGTAGATAGATTGAAGCAAAGACACGGCAAGCTAGAGTTTAGAAGGTCGTCTGTAAAGGACCAAAATTTCATCATTTAAAATTACTGAACCCCCCTTGGAAGCAGGAGAGGGGGGGGGACCTTTTTTAGACTGTTTAAACCTGCAGAAGAGAGAGTAAAGAAAGGCAATTTTCCACCGTCTTGAACCTGGGAGCGGGGTGTCAGGACAGACGTTCTGGGGAAGTTCATTGACTATGGACAAACGTTTTTGACAGATAGTTAAAAGAAGAGAAACATATTGATTCCATTGTTCCCTTCGCATTTAAAAGGAACAAAATATTGAAAAAATATCCAAAAAGGAAAACTTTGTTGCTAGATCTGCTTTTTTAAAAAAAGGATGGATACAAAAAGAAATTGTTTCCCTAGAGGAAGCTTTTGAAACTGTTATTAAAACCAAACTGGGGAGCTTTGCAGCTGTAATAGATTAAGATCGTGGGACCAGACTTCGACCTTGAACAAGAATGTACTAGGAGGCTCTGGTGTTTGCCTTTTGCAAGACAAGTGCTTTATTGGAACAGTTACATGAGAAGATGGATTTGATGACTGTTGCGATCGGAAATTTTGGACAGACAGTGGGTACCTATATAGAACCCACTCAGGAATTAATCCAGGAATGTGCTTTGACAGATGAGATGAAGGAGGAGGCTGTTGCTGGACCCCGGGTGGCACAGATGGAGGGAGCTGTGGCCCAGCAGGAACCTGAGTTGTTGGATTTGACGAATGAACCTGGAAAAGTCAGATTTGGCGAGATGGAGTTCTGTTTGGCTTGGAGATGGGGGGCTGGATGGACCCCCCTATGCAGGGATGTTTTGATTTTTCAAGTCTGGCTTTGGGCTGGGGGGAGCTCGGAGTTGTGGGGGCCCTTAACTTTGGAGGGGCCTTGAAACATGCCTTCAAATACCACGTGGATTTCGGTGTTGACTATGGAAAAGGGGCTGACCTGTTGAGAAGGGACAAAAATATTGTCAAGCTGGAGTCTCCCCGAGTGAAAGGAGCAGAAGACAAAGTAAAGTACAGGTATAAATATGAAGAAGACCTGCGGAAGGGACATGGAAGAGACTTAAGAGCCTCGGACATAAGGTCACCAGGTTGATGGACTAGATGGATGGGATAGAAAGGACTGACAAAACCCGAGACCAGGAAGAAGAGACGATGGATGAAGATTGGAAGAAAGTTTTAAAAATTCTTTTAGAAAAGTATCGTAAAATTAATGAGTATTAGAAAAATGTTGGAATGAAATTATTGGGCTTTAGCAGAAATGTTAAAAAGAATTATGTAAGAATATGTAATGGTTAAGAGAATTTGGTATAAATAAGATTTAAGTTTTAAGTTTTAGGACTTTTTATGGTAAGATAAGGTTAAAATAGATTAAGGTAATTTAATGACAGAATATTGTGAAAGATGGAAAGGATTTGCTGAGATAATTAATAACTAGAATACAACAAAGGGAGGTGTGAGGAGGTCGATGAAATAAGGTACTGACAGAAGGATCTGGGAATATTGGATTTGTTTTTAAATTTTTTGTTTATTTTTGCTTTTTGATTTTGATGTATTGTGTGTTTTGTTTTTTCTTTTTGACTTTGGTTTTTATTGATTTGTATTGTTTAATTGTTACTTTTATCTACTTTTTTCTTTCCTTTTTTTCCTCTTGGTTCTTCCTTCTTATTTCTTTGTAACCTTAAAATTCTCAATAAATATCATTTAAAAAATAAATAAATAAATAAAATGCAAACATCATTAAGCATAGCTAGACAAGCATTTGTTTGGATTGGTTTAGGTGTAGTCAATCCCCGAAGCAAAAGGATTAAATGAAGGACATCTTAAAGTCACTTCTAGCTGCATGTTTAAAGGAATCCCCCTCTTGAGGTGAAGATAAATAGACCTTTGGCAATGGCAATTTCAGGAAAGATTCATGCTATGGGTGGAATTAAATAAGATAAAAATCCCTTGCCTGAAAAGAGAAAATAGTACGTTAAATAACACGCACACACTTAGGGACAAGTCATCTTCTTATTGATCTTTGCAAAATTATTTTGATGTCTCAAGTTCTCAGGTGTTTTGCCTTGGCAAGGACTTTGGCTAGTGGTGCCAGAACTGACAGTTGTAGGGAAAACACTTGTCATTTGAACTTGGAACTCTGGGGGCATGCAAACTTCAAACTCCTCTGGTTTTCATGCTTCCAGTTTACCCTTCTGTGATAAACACATGTACTTCTGAAGCAGGAAATCTATACAATGGAATGCATTTGTCCTCTTCCTTTTTCTTTCTTTCTTTTTTAAAGCAGCAAACAGAATCAAACTTACAGTTTCCATCTCTAATTGGAATAGCACAGCTAACATCTTGTAGAGGGGTACTTTGAAAACATAGCATTAAAATTGAAGCAAAGGCAATTAACATCCATGGTCATCCTGAAACTCTTACCATCTAGCTTCTTTGAATTATCCCATCTTTCTTGTAACTTTTAGAGCATCCTTGTAAAATAAGCTAGTATTATTAATCCTATTTGAAGCTCAACATCAAAAAAACGAAGATCATGGCCACTGGTCCCATCACCTCCTGGCAAATAGAAGGGGAGGAAATGGAGGCAGTGAGAGATTTTACTTTCTTGGGCTCTATGATCACTGCAGATGGTGACAGCAGTCACAAAATTAAAAGATGCCTACTTCTTGGGAGAAAAGCAATGACAAACCTAGACAGCATCTTAAAAAGCAGAGACATCACCTTGCCGACAAAGGTCCGTATAGTTAAAGCTATGGTTTTCCCAGTAGTGATGTATGGAAGTGAGAGATGGACCACAAAGAAGGCTGATCATCGAAGAACTGATGCTTTTGAATTATGGTGCTCTTGAGAGTCCCATGGACTGCAAGAAGATCAAACCTATCCATTCTTAAGGAAATCAGCCCCGAGTGCTCACTGGAAGGACAGATCCTGAAGCTGAGGCTCCAGGAAGAGAACTCCCTGGAAAAGACCCTGATGTTGGGAAAGATTGAGGGCACAAGTAGAAGGGGACAACAGAGGACGAGATGGTTGGACAGTGTTCTCGAAGCTACGAATATGTTTGACCAAGCTGCAGGAGGCAATGGAAGACAGGAGTGCCTGGAGTGCTCTGGTCCGTGGGGTCCATGGGGTCACGAAGAGTTGGACACGACTAAACGACTAAACAACAACAAAATTAATCCCATAGTGTGGATTGTGTGGCACCTGACAGCAAGAGACAAAAACCTTTCAGAGACTCTGCCTATTTCCGCTCTGTCTCAGTCAGCATAGCTAATCCAGCATAGTATTGAAGAAGCTTCTAAAAAAACCTTCAAAGAAGTTAGAGAAAGTAAAAAAGAATGTGAAAAAACTAAAAAGGAGATAGAAGAATTCAGAATAACACAAGAAGCCACTTGGGACGCTCTGGCAATTTTGCAGATGCAGACCAAGGAAAAACACTCAGACTACCTGGGGTCCCTGGGGCCCCAGAGGAAAATACACAAACAAAGATTATTAAGGAACTGGCCACTTGGTTAGATTTGGAGGAAGAAGAAATAATATGAAACACGGAAAACATATTCAGATTGAACTCTAAAAAAGCTAAAGCCAACAAATGGTCGGGAGATTGCCTAATTACTTTTATTTCTAATAAATTAAGAAAGAAGATTTTGCAGGCAAGAGGTCAAAGAAAATTTAAAATTGAAGGAAAAGAGATCATAATTTTAAAAGAAATTCCTCCCCGCCTACTGAAAAAAAGAGATAAATTCCAGTTTCTGGCCAAAGCTCTTAAAGCGAAATCAATATGTCAGACCACTTTTCATATATGCAACAACTGCAGCCAGAATTCTGGTAGCAAGGAATTGGAAAAGTGAAAAAATTACTAGAATAACCAAATGGCAGGTCCAAATGATAGAGTGTTCACAGTTGTCTAGGATGACAGGGAAAAGTAGAGGAAACCCGACTCAGAAGGTACATAAGGAATGGAAAATATTTAAAGAATATTTGAAAAAATATTGTAATAACAAAAATCTCCTGGCAGATTATGACTGATATTTGTAAGAAGTAGGTGATAAACATTTAAGCATTCTGGATAATAACTAGGAAAACAAAACAATAGTCTGATGCTGTGTGTAAAATAATCAGAATAAGCGACAGTACAATGGGAAGTCAATTTTATTTCTTCTTAATCTTTTCTTTTCTTCTTTCTTTTTTCCTTTTTTTCGTTCTGTAAATTAGTTAATGGTGATGTATACAATGTATAGTTGTATATAGTTGTGTTCTGTAGTATACTATGGAGTGATGTGGTTTGTTGTGGAATTAAATATTGTTTGTCAAATAAACTTTAATTTTAAAGCAACAACAACATAATAACCAATACAACTTCCTTTTGAACAACTTTGTATTTAAACAAAGTCTGAGATACACAGGAAATTGAGCCTCCTATAGATAGAACTACAACCTTGCCATACCAATCTCATTGGACAATCGCAGAGAGCATGCCGTAGTAGAGGAGGAAACAAGTTTGTTCCCTCTTCCTTGATATATTTGAAGATGGTTATCATATCTTGAAGAGCAAAAAAGAGGACAGCCCAAGCCACTGCCAACCTGAGCAGGATGGGCGTGTTGGCCCCCAAAGAGGACATGTCTTGGATTTCCCGGTTGTAAGGCAACCCCACATTAGGGTTGCCTGTACATTTTCCAAAAAAAACCAAATGCAGCCACACAGGTTTTTGGTGCTCCTAGTTTGGGTTCCTGTATATTTTTTCCCTTGATGGTCAATAGCAAGCTTAGAATGATAGACTCACAGAACTGTAGAATTGGAAGGGATCAAGACCATTGCACAAAATAGTTGGGCACACACCTGTCTCCATCAAGATGCAGCCTGAGTCAAAATTGCTGCCTCCCTTTAGGCACTTAAGCTGACACATTCATGCATTTCTCACATCACACCTGATGAGGCTGCTTGATTCTCTAAAAGGCTCATAGCAGCACAGCAGAGGATTGTGAGCCTCTTTTAGGTCTGTCTAGCACCAAGAGCCATGTGCAGTGGTAGGAAGACAGTTGCAAAGCTGTGGGCAAGCAAGCAGCGGGAGTGGCCTGGGGTGCTTGTGGTGATTCACACATGCACACAAACTCTCTCTTACTCTCTCTCACATTAAAAGTACCCTCCTTGTATACTGTCCACATCATCATAATTGTACAATGTGCGCTGGGGGTGGGGAGCATCAGCTGCATGGGGAGAAAAGCACACAAGGATGACCTTCCCCACATGCCCCCTCCCCAACACAGCCATACTTCCCCACAGAGCCGTCTTTCCCATAGGGCTTAGTGGTGCATTGCGCCAGGGTGCCGGCCTCTCAGGGGCGCCCCAGAGAGTGGGGGAGCTGTGCAGCTTTGCCAGTGGCCTCCCCTTTCCCCGCATGCCCGCCAGCTGCGCCCCGCCAACCATAAGGCTGGCGGGCGTGCAGCTTCCCTCCCAAGCCTCCCAAGCCTCTGCGGGGATCGCTCTCCTGCAGTGGCATGGGGGAGAGTTGCACCCCCCCCCCCGGATGTCTGGCAGTGTGCAGCTATGGCCATCCCAACACTATACATGGTAATTTGTGGGCGCTGGGCTGATCTTTGCACCCCGGCGCCACATCTGCTAAAGACGGCCCTGCTTCCCCCAGTCTGCCAAGTGACATTGGCAGCAAGATTTGGCAGTGGGGGGATTTGGCCACAGAGACAACTGGGACACTCAGGCAGGCTGCTCTGAATTGCTTCTGCGGGCTGCGTGGGGCTCAGTTTTAAAGACTTGGTGAAAACAGGGCCACATTCCATCACTGAGCTGCTTCAGTAAGAAACAAATTGCTTGTCAGTCATTGCTTCACTCCAGTCAAAGGTAATACCCCTTGTGTTCCATTCATTCCATGACAGAAAAAATACAGAATTTACAAGAAGGAGCTGTAATGCCGAAAGAGAAGAACAATGGAAAGGTTTAAGTGTGATTCTGCTCTCACCCACCGCCTTTCATTGCACTTGATTTTAAGTCATATTATTACTAAACCAGTGTAGGATTTTTCAACAAAAGAGCACAGCCCAGGCTTTACTTCCATCTCTGGGAACCTGCATTTTAGGAAAAACATGTCTTTCAGGAGCAAGCAGTGATTACCAATTAGTTGCATTATCTTTTTGTCAGTGTTTCTCAACAGGTAGTGTCTAAATAGGCATAAATGCATCTCTAAAGAATAAAGACAAAGGAATAAACACATAGGTAGAAATGTAATTTCACTGATTAAGTACCTTTTACTCAAGAGCTTGCAGAGTAAGTGCCTGATTGAAAAGCCTTCCTTCTGATGTTAATGGGCCATTTGTCAAACATTATTATATAGTAAATGATGGCCACTGTGTAGACAAGTGCTTAGAATTTACTTCTAAATGCTGATGCCCCTACCAAACACACACACAGAGTAAACACATGGAAATATTGAGTCAAACCATGATAGTCCAGTGTTTGTGCTTTCAAAAGCAAAGGGGGGGGGGAGAGATTTAACATGTATAATTTCAAAATGCATAGTTATGAAAACTAGTGACTGTTTATCAACAAAAAATAAAAATATTAAAAAATCAAAACAATTTAGCTAGATGTCCTCCTAGGTTTCATTATACAGAGGGAAGGGAAAGCTGAGTGTAGTTAGTTGGGTACTCTGGACTTTCAGTTGATTTCCAAAAGCTTAAGGAACAATGAGTTGTAGCCAGGATATATGTTGGGGAGACACACACCTGTCATTATCTTCTGTCTGGCTCTGTCTAGCAGATTCAGGAAGAAATGCATCAACAACAGTTGTTTTAAATTACTTTCTTTTGACCCCAAGTACTCAGAAAATCTGTCAAAATCTTCAGTCATTTGAAAACTAGGAAGTTAAATATAAAATTAACATCAGGGAGTACCTTCCATGAAGTTAACGAGTATATTTTGCAAAATTGCAAAGAATGGACCTTTTTTCATCTTTTTTTTTTAAAAACCTAAACTAAAACAAGTTTACTTGGACTTGCTAAAAAACTTTTCAGCAGATCCTTCTCAAATTCCTCTTTTCTATTGCAGTTTTTCTGTCCACACTCAGTAAGCAAAGCCCATTGAGATGCTCCCCTGTCATCGTCAACCTTAGCCATGTCTTTACTCTCTGCAAGGTACTGAATGACTGCTCCAGGGTACAAGTCGTGCCTGGCTGAGCAAGAGAGGTGAGCAGAGCCTTTTTTGTGGCAGGGTAAAAGATTTCTGCCTCTTTTACTAGAACCGGGCTGCCTGTGACAAGAAGAGTAAGTTCATGGAATCTACTATTCAGTCAAATTGCCGGTTGCGTCATTAGAATGTATCACAACATCATCCAAGTGACCTCAGCAAGCATTTCAATTTCAAATATTCTGATTATTTCTACTTTCAGTTAAGTATTTTTATTTATTTACTTGACTTTGGTGGACGTGCCCAAAGATTAAGGCTTTCTGGGAGATGATATATAATGAATTAAAAAAGGTATTTAAATATACCTTCTTGAAGAAACCAGAGGCCTTTCTCCTGGGCATAGTCGGCCAATCGGTGTTAAAAAAGGATAGAACTTTCTTCATGTATGTTACAACAGCAGCAAGAATACTCATCGCAAAGTATTGGAAGACACAAGAGCTACCCACACTGGAGGAATGGCAGATGAAAATGATGGACTACATGGAATTGGCGGAAATGACTGGCAGAATCCGCGACCAGGGAGAAGAGTCGGTGGAAGAAGATTGGAAGAAATTTAAAGATTATTTACAGAAATATTGCAAAATTAATGAATGTTAGAGTGATTTTGGATTGAAATTAAGTGGCTTCTAGCTGTATAGGCTTTAAAGTTATAAATAGATTAAGATCAAGGATTAGGATTAAAAAGGTTAAAAGAATGGAAAATTGGTTTTTAATAGGTAAAAATTTAATGTTATATTATATTAAGATTAAGGACTGGGATTAAAAAGGAGGGAAAGGAATTGCTGGACTAACAAACTGAATTGGAATACAAAAGAGGGAGGTATGAGGAGGTCCGGGAAACAAGTAAATGTAAAAGTAGTGATGAAAAGATGGAATTGTTTTTAACTGTTTTTTCTTTTTTCTTTTTGTATTTTGTATTGTGTACTTTTCTTTATATTCTTGAATTTTTCTTTTTTGGTGATGTGATTTTTTCTTTGTGAAACGTTAATAAATATCATTTAAAAAAAATAAAAAATAAAAAAAATAAAGGCAAGGTAAGGAGAACTTGCTCACAAGAGTCCTGTGCCTTGTGAGAAGGTTGAGTGTGTAGGTGCGCACTCAGGCTGCCCCACCCTCAATGGTTAGCTGACACCTTCCCTGGATTTCATTGATGCTCTCCTCTCATCAGAAGGGAAGAGGAGAGGCAGCCCCACCCTCCCACCATTTCATCCTCCTCTTCCCCTTGTTGACTGTGATGAATGAGCATCCCTACTGAGACGGTTCTGGATTTGGCTCAGATTTCAAAATGTGTTACTTTATTCGTTTCTTTTCTTTTTGTTGCTCATCTTCTTAAAGGTTAAACAACAACACATATGCAACAGCAAAATCCCCAACAACTATGATGCGGCACAGAATTTAACCATGTGATACAACATATAAAAGAAAAAGAAAAAACAGACAGCATCCAGATTATCCAATACAAAAATAAATAAATATAGCACAATATCTGTTAGAATGTATTTTAGCACTATTTTGCTATTGTGCCAAAATTTGTAACTTTCTTACAGTTCTCAAATGTTTTTAAAAACCAAATCATTTTATTCAAGCTGAGTGCAAATTGGTCTAGGGTTTTCTGTTGCAGATTTTGCTTTTGTCTAAAATGTAACTTTTGATTTATTTTTTTAAAAAAATCAGCAACATGACAGAGACTTGTGAAATAACTCATTGTTTTTTGCAGCATTCCTGTTTAATTCATGGTTTTGCCTGACATATGCTTAGTGAGATACAGGTGTGAGAACTGCACTTAGATGTAATTTGACATGCCCATCATTTCCATTATGCAGACCCAGTAAAATCCAATCTGTCAGTGCATATGTCCTATAACTTGCTGGACTTTCATCAAAGCATAAGCAAGTAAGCTCATCATTCAAGGTGTTGCAGCTGAGTGAGTCAAAACACCGGGTGTCCATTTCATGGTAATTATTCAGCTCATATGTAGAGCTAACATATTGGCGTTATTTATCTTCGTTAGTTACAAAAATTATAGGCCACCTTTATGAGAAAAAGTCAATCAAGGTGTGTTATACAGCAACAGATAAAAGTACAACTCCAACTATAATAAATCAAATAGAAATTATTGTGAGAAGGAATGAGATTATGAATTGTAGCATTCCTCCCATGATTTAAGGAATCAGTTTCAAGATATTAATAAATGCCTTAATGCAGTGGTTCTCAAAGGGTGTGACACGCCACACCGGTGTGGCAGGGGAGTGTGGCAAGTGTGGTGGAAAGATTCAAGGACAATCAAATAAATATTTAAACATTTCATTGTAGGGTGGTATAGCATCAATTGTTTGTTTGTTTGTTTGGCTATACAACCATTTCCACACCTCTCTTCAAGAGCATTGGCTATTCTTCTACAGTGTTCCATGACATATTGTTGTGAACAGGGATTTTCAACTCTGACAAATATGGAAGATCAGAAAAGAGAAAGGCTTCTTTGTATTGATGAGATTAGAGTTTGTTTGTCTCAAATTAGACCTAATATGATTGAGATTACATGGCAAAAGCAAGCTCACAACTTTCATTGAATTTGTATACATACTGTCAGGGGTTCAGGGAGAGAGGCACAGGGTAGGCAGGAGATGGAGAGCGATGGGGATGAATTCCAAGCCAGCGAGGAAGAGGATGACAATGACTCAAGAGATTCCATGAGTCTTTCCAGCGAATCAGAGGATTCCCAGAAGGGGGCGCCGGTGGTTAAGGCCAGGGGAGCCCCAGGGGGGACGTGTCAGGAGCAGGGGGCCAGCGGAGGATCCCAAAGTGGCAGCTGGGCGTCAGGACCAGCCTCCCCACCAGAGTGCAGCGAAGGGGGTGGAGTTTCCAGTGTGTCAGAGGAAGCAGCTCCGGGAGCAGAGAAAGGAGGGAGGTCAGAGCAAGCCGCCCTTCCGGAAGGGGAGGGAGCAGTGAAGGGAGTAGTGTAACTGTCAAAAGGAAAGTTAGAGGTTTGGCGCGCGCGCCTAGTTCAAATGTAGAGGCGCGCGGAAGTACAGGGAGCCCGGAGGAGGGGCCAGGTCCCAAAGCCCGCAGGAGGGGGGAAGAGCAGTCTGGGGATTCAGCGTCAGAGGAATCCAGGAGGGGCGAAACCCCAGCGGGCAGAAGGACCCTGCGGAAAAGGAAGGAGAGAAAGAGGTGGAGCAGCGCAAGCCTCTTAAATTGGTGCAGGGGAGGGACGGATTCAGAGGGGACTTCAGCGGTCTAAGCGTAAGAGACGTAAGGCTGCGCGCCTAGGATGTCAAGCAAACAATGAACTGCAATAAACACCTTTGTATATAAGAAGACATAGGCGTTGGTCTTTTGTGAGCTGAGACTTGAGGCAGCTTTGACAGTAAGTCCCCTCTCCTAAAAGAACCGCAAAATTTTTTTTTGCAAAGCTCACGAAGTTTGGCAGCGATGACTACTGAGGAGCAGATAGCGTCCCTGCAAAACGCAGTCACCGAGCTCTCCACTGCCGTCGTGGTCTCTCAGAAGACGGTTGCCGAAGCAGAAGCGCGATGCCAGGATCTGCAAGCCAGGTGGGATCGGGCGTGCAGAGAGGGGTTCCCGGGGTCCAGATCAGAGGGAATCGGACTCGGACGGAGGGGGGGCAATTTAGTAGCCCACTTCGATGGGAACCTGAAGCATTATCCCAATTTCAGAGCAGACGTCGTATACGCGCTGCATTTGCTTCGAAAAGACTTCAAAGATGAGGAGGAAAAAGTGGGTTTTATTGTGTCCCATCTGCATGGGGAAGCAAGAACCTGGTTACGCAATTTGTGGCGCGAAGATGGTCTTGCACGCAGGGACTCTGATGAATTTCTCAAAGCCATGGACGCTTGCTTCCAATCTACTGTTGACGTTGATGTGGCACGCCAGGAGATGCATGGATTGCGGCAGGGCAAGGCTACAGTGCGTCAGTACCATTCTCGCTTTTTTGCATTGCTGAATGTGCTGGGCTGGGAAAAGGACTCCCTGGCAGTGAGGGACTTGTTCTGGGAAGGGCTTCATGGCTCAGTGAAAGATGAGCTGGCTAGGGAGACAGACCTCAAACCCTAGCAGACGTCGTGCAGAGGGCACTCACGATAGGGGTGCGCCACGAAGAACGCCCTTGGCACAGGGAGGAGGGGCGTCACGTCCGCCCACCAGCTAGAGCGCCTCCTTTTCCTTCCAGGGACCTGGAACGTTCAAACCTTTCGCCTGTGCCGGCAGCAGGGGAAGCGTTCCAAGGGGAGCGGTTTCAGGGAAACGAGAATGCCTGGTTGGAGGGAGAGATGCTGGGGCTCCGCCAGGCAAGTCAGTGAAGCAGTCCCCAGCGCTTTTGCAGCCTACAGACCCCTTACCACCCAAGCCAGTGGTGCAGCTCACTGCTACTCTCCAGCTAATGGACTCACCCTGGAAGTCCCCATTACGATTGACTCAGGGAGCAACGCAGACTTCGTGGGGGTGCAGTTCGTCAAGCAGCATCGCATAGCGCTACTACCAGCCACGCTGCCTCTGAATGTGGTCACTGTAGATGGCAGGAAGTTGCTGGGTGGGCAAGTGGTACAACAGACGCCACCCATGCTGCTGAAAATTGGGAATCATCGCGAGGTCATCAGTTTCAATGTCACCCAACTGTCAGACACGCCCATAGTGTTAGGCATGAGTTGGCTGGATAGACACAGCCCATCATTGGCGTGGTACCAGCGGCAGCTCACCTTTGGCTCGTCCTACTGCGCACAACATTGCATCCAGATCGGCCAGGAGGAGGAGGGCCAGGAGGAAGGGCAACAGCTGCATCTAGGCATGGTGCAGGCAGTGCCCCACAAGTACAAGGGGTTTTTGGAGGTCTTCTGCGAGAAGGAAGCTGACCAATTACCACCCCACCGGCCCTACGACTGTGCAATTGACCTCTTACCAGGAGCGACGCTGCCGACTGCGAAGCTGTATTCCATGTCTGAAGATGAGATGCAGGAGCTCAGGGAGTTCATAGATCACAATTTGAAGCGGGGATTCATCCGAGAATCCAAGGCAGTGGGGGGCAGTCCTGTGTTTTTCGTGAAGAAGAAGGACACGCCCCAAAACGGCTCATTGTGGACTATAGGGCCATAGACTCGATGACAAAACCCAAGGCTTTCCCCATGCCCAAGATTGACGACCTGCTCGCGACGGTGAGGAAGGGGAGGATCTTCACCAAGTTGGATCTACGCGGAGCATACAATCTAATACGCATGAGGGAAGGTGACGAGTGGAAGACGGCCATGTTCACGCCGCTGGGCACCTATGAATACAGAGTTATGCCGTTTGGTCTCCAAGGTGGCTCCCACTGTTTTCAAGCATTCATGCACCACGTGCTAGCAGGACTCCTCTACAAGAAGTGCGTATGTTTTCTCGACGATATTCTGATCTTCTCGGAATCGCAGGAGACTCACGAAAGAGACGTAAAGGAGGTCCTGCAGAGGCTACGGGAGCACAGACTCTACGCCAAGCTGGAGAAGTGCCAGTTCGACGTGGCGGAGGTGGATTTCCTGGGCTACCGGCTGTCCGACAAGGGACTAGCCATGGACAGCGCCAAGGTCCGCGCGGTGTTGGACTGGAATAGCCCGCGCAATCGGAAGGAGGTCCAGAGGTTCGTCGGCTTCGCCAACTTTTACCGCAAGTTCATCAGGGGTTTCGCGAAAGAGACGGCAGCTATCACGGACACCCTCAGTTCCAAGAAGAAAAAGTTCACCTGGACGGACCAGGCGGAGCAGTCCTTCAGGAGACTTAAGAGTCTCTTCGCGTCCGAAGACCAGCTGCTACACGTGAATCCCGGCAGGCCCATGCGGGTTGAGACTGACGCATCTGACAGAGCAGTGGGGGCCGTCCTCTTGCAGGAAGATTCGCAAGAGAACTGGAGGCCCTGCGCTTTCTATTCCCGGAAGCTCAGCAAGTCGGAACAGAACTACACCATCTGGGACAGGGAGTTGTTGGCCATCCACGCGGCTTTCAAGGCGTGGCGGCACTTCCTCATCGGAGCCAAGCACACCGTGCAGGTCCGCACGGACCACAAGAACCTAGAGTATTGGCGCACGGCGAAGCTCCAGAGCCAGAGGCACATGAGATGGGCGGAGTTCTTTGCGGATTTCGATTTCCGGATAGAGTATATCCCGGGAGACAACAACGTCATAGCGGATGCGCTCTCCAGGAAACCGCAGTATCTTGAGGAAGCGGCACCAGTGGCAGCCAGGCACATTTTTGCACCGCAAGCGTGGGCGTGCGCTTCTGCCGCCGTGGACCTGGACGCGGTACGACGCGCGCTACAGACGGATCCGTTCGCACAATCCAAGATGGAGGAGGTGCGAAGAGGGACAGCAAAGGACGGCGAATTCCAGATACGCGACGGCCTGCTGACCCGCAAAGGTGCTCTCTACGTCCCGGGAGACGATCTCCGCGCGAAGGTTTTACAGCAGTTACACGACGCCCCCAGCGCGGGTCACTTCGGCAAGGAAAAGACGGCGGACTTAGTAGCCAGAGACTTTTGGTGGCCCCAGATGCGGGGAGAAGTCGCGGATTACGTCGCCAGGTGTGACACTTGTCAGAGGTCCAAGCCAGTGCACAAGAAGCCAGCGGGATTGCTGGAACCGTTGGAGACGCCACTGCAGCCGTGGGAAAGGGTGGCGCTGGACTTTGTCACTGATCTGCCCAGTTCGCGGGGCAAGACGGCGGTGCTTGTGGTTGTAGATCTGTTCACCAAGATGGCGCACTTCATTCCTTGCGCGAAGGTGGCAACAGCGGAACAGACCGCCAGGCTATTCATAGACCACGTGTTCCGGGTGCACGGCTTACCACGGTCCATCCTGTCCGACCGGGGTCGCCAATTCATTTCCAGTTTCTGGCAGAAGCTCCTGGGCATCCTGAATGTCAAGATCAACTTAGCGTCGGCGAGACACCCGCAAACCAACGGCCAAGCGGAGAGGGTCAACGCCATCATGCAGCAGTACCTGCGATGTTACGCCAATCAGAAGCCTGCAACTTGGGTGGACTACTTACCGATGGCCGAGTTTGCCTACAACAACACGAAGCACGCGTCAACGGGGTGACACCGTTCTTCGCCAACAATGGGCGACATCCCAGAACCTTCCCGGCGTTGGAGACGACGCCGGGGGAGTCGCAGGGAGCGGAACATTTAGCAGCAGAATTGCAGGAGGTCCACGAGGAGCTACGACGGCACTTGGAACTAGCTAAACACGCCTACAAAGTGCAGGCAGACAGGCACAGGAGGGCAGGAGAAGACATCCAGGTGGGGGACTGGGTATGGTTAGCAGCCCAGGCGGTGCCGGCCAAGTCGTTAGCTAAGAAGAAGCTAGGACACAAACAGCTAGGGCCATACCAAGTTGAGGGCAGGATCAATCCCGTAGCTTTTCGGTTGACCCTCCCAGAGGATTCCCGAATGCACCCGGTCTTTCATAGGTCGGTGCTTACACCCTACAAGGCCCCACACAGATTTCAGGAGCCAGGGACGGCACCAGACCCACGTAGAAAGTCACCAGGGGGGGGAAGTCACCGAGGACCCCGACACTCAACGAGGTCACGGAAATTCTGGACTCGAGATGGGGGGAGGGAGTGGAATACCTCCTCGCCAGGGAAGGTACCCCGGCCAGCGCCAACAGTTGGGTGCCAGATTATGCTCTGGAGGAACCTTTTCTTAAGGACGAGTTCCATGCACTCTTCCCACACAGGCCCATGCCAGAGGAGTATTTTGACGACTGGCTTTTACCCCCACACTTTCAGGCAGCACCTTCCGGGGGTTCTCCTCCGCAGAGGAGACCACGCCGCAATCGAGCCCTCCAAGGGGATCGTGCTCGGGGGTGGACACGGACCGCTCTTATTGGTGGGACGATCAACCAGAAGTGGGGTGGCGAAGGGGCCCTTGGCAAGCAGCTTCGCCTGAAGTAACAGGGGGAGGGAAGGGTTTGGAGGTGTTGGGGGAGGACCCACTGGAAGCAGAGGAGATCGACGTCGACGAACTGTATCCAGCATCTACCCCCGCTACAACGAAGCTCCCGGAACCTGCGCCCGAGCAGCGGGAGGGGGAAGGGGGGCTTCGAGGGGGATGGATGTCAGGGGTTCAGGGAGAGAGGCACAGGGTAGGCAGGAGATGGAGAGCGATGGGGAGGAATTCCAAGCCAGCGAGGAAGAGGATGACAATGACTCAAGAGATTCCATGAGTCTTTCCAGCGAATCAGAGGATTCCCAGAAGGGGGCGCCGGTGGTTAAGGCCAGGGGAGCCCCAGGGGGGACGTGTCAGGAGCAGGGGGCCAGCGGAGGATCCCAAAGTGGCAGCTGGGCGTCAGGACCAGCCTCCCCACCAGAGTGCAGCGAAGGGGGTGGAGTTTCCAGTGTGTCAGAGGAAGCAGCTCCGGGAGCAGAGAAAGGAGGGAGGTCAGAGCAAGCCGCCCTTCCGGAAGGGGAGGGAGCAGTGAAGGGAGTAGTGTAACTGTCAAAAGGAAAGTTAGAGGTTTGGCGCGCGCGCCTAGTTCAAATGTAGAGGCGCGCGGAAGTACAGGGAGCCCGGAGGAGGGGCCAGGTCCCAAAGCCCGCAGGAGCCGGGAAGAGGAGTCTGGGGATTCAGCGTCAGAGGAATCCAGGGGGGCGAAACCCCAGCGGGCAGAAGGACCCTGCGGAAAAGGAAGGAGAGAAAGAGGTGGAGCAGCGCAAGCCTCTTAAATTGGTGCAGGGGAGGGACGGATTCAGAGGGGACTTCAGCGGTCTAAGCGTAAGAGACGTAAGGCTGCGCGCCTAGGATGTCAAGCAAACAATGAACTGCAATAAACACCTTTGTATATAAGAAGACATAGGCGTTGGTCTTTTGTGAGCTGAGACTTGAGGCAGCTTTGACACATACTTAAGGTAAATATGTAAGAGGCTCTTTTATAACTGTAGTTGGGGAATGATTCATGTTCTATTCTAAATTATTTTTGCATTGTTTTATATTTTCTGTCCCATGATAATATTATAAAGTAGTTGTGTTCTGTTATAAATCAAGTACTGCTGGGAGTTGTTTCTTTCTGTTTTCCAATGTATTTCTTAGCAAAAAAAAAATTTGGTGTGGTGCAAGCAAATTTTTGACGCGGGTGGCGCTGTGGGTAAAACCTCAGCGCCTAGGACTTGCCGATCGCATGGTCGGCGGTTCGAATCCCTGCGGCGGGGTGAGCTCCCGTTGTTCGGTCCCAGCGCCTGCCAACCTAGCAGTTCAAAAGCACCCCCGGGTGCAAGTAGATGGCTTGCCAGATGCAGCTTGTCACGCTGGCCACGTGACCCGGAAGTGTCTGCGGACAGCGCTGGCTCCCGGCCTATAGAGTGAGATGAGCACACAACCCTAGAGTCTGGCAAAACTGGCCCGTAGGGGCAGGGGTACCTTTACCTTTACCTTTAAGCAAATTTTTATTCTTAAAGTGTGGCCCAGAGAAAAAAGTTCAAGAACCACTGTTTTAATGGCACTAGAGATTACCTGTCGTAGGGTCCCATTCAGTTAGAATGCCCTGCCATCAGAATCAGAGCAGGTTCCAAATCCCAAGAATTAAAATGCAGAGAGGGCCCAGAAGTCTTGTCTTAAGTACATTCTGAAAGTATTAAACTGGGGAAAAGCTGGTTCCCTCTCCTTCATAGAACCAATAATTTAGAATATTCTCTGGGTAATAATTTGTTAGATGTTATACTGTCTGTTAATTTTCAAAGTACCATAATACTGAAAGTTAGGAATAATGACCTAAAATATATGGGCTGTGAAATTGGAACAAAGAAATAAAATACATCAATTTGGCCATGAAACTAAACACACTCAAGCAGATCCTCATAACATAATTTAAAAAACACACAGCAAGAACACAAGGACTGCTCAGTGAAAGCCAAATCTCTGATGGTGTCAGTCAGTGACACTAAAAACTAAGCACCTCCGAGAGTCTTGTTTATTGGAAAAGGTTGCACACCCAAAAAAGTAGAATTTTATCTCCTTTTAGAGCAATAAGTCCTGTCAAATCAAGGTACTGTTCTACTCCTTTCTGAACCCTATCCTGAATACATGTTAGTAATTGTTCTCAGATGAAGCATGACCCCAGCTACTCATGGATAGGCAATATTAAATCCCCACTAATTCACACCTGAAGAAGTCATCAATGAACCTTTGTTAATGAAAACTGAATTCTACAGTCATCTATGTCTTCTTGACCCAGTACTAATCCTTCTGGGTAACAGGGTTAGAGCTAGAAATTCCTCTCTGCTCCCTTGGACACTTCTCTAAGAAAAAGGAAGTCTTCCTTCCCTCCCTCCTTCCTTCCTTCCTTGCTTCATTTTTCATACTTATCACCCATCTTTCACTGAATGGTTCCAGCGCAGGCTTCATAAGACATCACAACTTAAGACAATATGCAATTCGTTAAAAATGTAAGTTAAAATCATAAACACAGACGCTCCAATGTCCCTATTTCCCAGGGACAGTCCTGAATTTTCATAAGCCATCCTGGTTTCTGATTTGATTCCAGAATGTCCAGCTTTTCCTTAGGACTTCCCTATTTTCACCGGAGAAATGTTGGAGGGTGTGTAAACAAAACCACAAGAGCGACCATCAGCCTGCTCTTCTAAGAGCTTTGCTTGTGCCTGCGCCACCAAGAAGCCTGTTGATCTTTCCCAGATAGCTCTAAAGTGCAACTGTGAGCACAGAGGTACCAGGAGAAAATAAAAAGTTGGCATACCTAGTTGCATTATTTTTCTGGATGTTTGATATATCCTGTGGGGCTCAAAGCCCCAAATGCCACCCAAAGATAAAATCATTCACCTCTGTAACAACTTACACTCCGCAGTTGCATTAAGCAGTGCTTTTGTCCAGTTTTCTAATGTTCTTTTCACACTGCAGTATCTGGCGCACTGTGGTGCTGTAGCTTTTTGACCAATATAGCACCACATCACACTAAATTTGGCGTGGTGTGACACAGCAAAAGAACGTTATTAGACAATGTCACAACTCCCCCAACCTTTCTGCAGATGCATGCTGGTATACCACCCCAAATTTCATCACTTTGCCCCCAACAATGTTCTGGGTAAAAATTAATTTCGGGTGCAATTAACATGGAAATGAGCACTAAACTTGCACTAGATTCCTGGAAATGGCTTTTATGCTGTGTGAATGAACAGTTCAGGAAATGTCGGGCAAACAGAATAAAACTGCCATGCGACTGCAGCCCTGCTTGAACAGAAGCTGTTTGTGGTATACTTTGAAAAGCAGCAACCCTACATTTTGTATAGTTCTATTGAATTCAACCTGCATGGGAAAGGAAGTGTCATCAATTCCCTAATGCACTCTGCATCCAACATCTGCATTCTTTTGCTCCTTCATGCTTCATGACATATAGAATACAAAAGGCCCATTGTGTTATTTTAATCTAAAAGCTACATCCCAGTGTCAATAAAATTGCTGGTAAATTTTTCAGCAACACTTTTTCCTATCTTGCTTATGCAAAAAGAAAAAAGAAAACAATCTCACTTCAACATCTAAAGTGTATTGAGACAGCATGCTTGAAAATTCTGGCAGAAATAAATGTACTTTGATTAAATTAATATTCCAATAAGTACTATTTGCAAGTCTATAAAAAGGACAACTGAAATAGAGATAGCATTATTCCTCTGGATGTGTGTATGTGTGGTACATATCTTTTGCATTCTATAGTTTCAGAGTGCTGTTCTAAAAACCCTATATGTCACTCTATATGTCAATGAGTTTTTTAATGTGTTGCAGCGTGCAATGCAATAGTCATGGTCCATTTGTCTGTTGGCATCCTTAGGTTGCTATTACTTCAAAAAGCTTCATTTCTCCTGGCATGAGTAGTCCTAGCTAGAGAAAACAGACAGCCCTCCATCAAAGCTCAATGCAAGTTCCAAGTCGTCTTTATTTGAGTTTCTGAGTTGACTTGGCTGCAAATATGGTTAAGGAGGGCATCTGCAATTCATGGGCAGCCAACCTGTGACACAAAGTTACAGGAGCAGGAGGCCTAATGGCACATGATCAGGCTGCACATCTCAGCCACCTGCCACTCACTCTCCACCACCTCCCCATCTCAGTTTGGCAAAAGGACCCCAAGGCATGGAAGGCAGGTACATTATGAGAGAGATACCTATGTGATGTGCCATGCAGTAGGGTGCCAACATCTCATACTCTGGATCCACTGGTTGCACACCACTGTTATAAAAATCATTTATCCCGTCTTACTACTACTACTACTACTACTAATAATAATAATAATAATAATAATAATTTATTATTTCTACCCTGCCCATCTGGCTGGGTTTCCCCAGCCACTCTGGGCGGCTTTCAACAGAACATTAAAAACAGAATAAAACTTCAAACATTAAAAACTCCCCTAAACAGGGCTGCCTTCAGATGTCTTATAAAAGTCAGATAGTTGTTTATTTCCTTGACATCTGATAGGAGGGTGCCACTATCAAGAAGGCCCTCTGCCTGGTTCCCTGTAACCTCACTTCTTGCACTGAGGGAACCACCAGAAGGCCCTCAGCACTGGACCTCAGTGTCCGGGCAGAACGATGGGGGTGGAGACGCTCCTTCAGGTATACTGGGCTGAGGCCGTTTAGGGCTTTAAAGGTCAGCACTAACACTTTGAATTGTGCTCGTAAACATACTGGGAGCTAATGTAGGTCTTTCAGGACCAGTGTTATATGGTCTTGGTGGCCACTCCCAGTCACCAGTCTAGCTGCCGCATTCTGGATTAGTTGCAACCATCCCATCCTAGTTGTCACGAGGAAAACTTCAGACAGCTCACTTGGCTAATTGCTGAGTGAACCCAGACACGCAGAGAGCTTCTTTTCAGTACTTTTATTATTAGCAAAGAGAAAAACATGGTGACCATGGAATGTACTCCCTCAAAGCTTGAGCTTTTGCCCAGAGTGCCCACCCCTCCCCCTCCCAACTAACGTCCTAGCTCTCAGACTCCTCCTGCTGTCTACGGTGGCTGCTAAGGGACTCCTTCTGTCTCTGTTTGGCAAATTCTCCTCCCCACTCCCTGGACTTTAATGCCTCTGGACAGTCAATGTGCTCTTTGGGGGCGGGGGGAATTAAAGCATGACCTTTTGTTAAACGGATGTGAAAACAAGAGCATCCTCTCTTGTGAATGAATGGAAGCTCTGAACCAGTCTCCTCTGATCTGCTCTCATGTTCTCAGAAGCCACATAACAAGCAGCACAGAGAGACTGTGAATGGAACAGAACAACTGACAGCAGCTGCTCTGCTGTGACAGGACAAATGAATTGGTTGGCTTTAAATGAAGAACCAGTCAAGGGAAAGTTAATTTCTGGTATAACACCACACAACAGTGATACCTGTGAGTCACCTGAGTTTGAAAGCCTGTGCTGAACAGCTGTTCACTCATAGTATTCTGCCTATCCTACTTAATAATAACAAACTGCAAGACGCTGACATTGTTATGACTGTCACCCAAGTACATTCAATTTATAGAAGATGAACATCTTAAGTTTATGTGCAGAAAGACTTCACCAATCTGCATTATGCTTGTCAAAACATATATGACCAAGGAATCTAACCCCAAGCTGAAGTTGGGGAGAAAAGACAAGTTCACACACCCCTCGGCTAAGAGCCAGGGCATTCTAAACTAATCTGCTTTAGTGGTTGCAAGTTCAGAACAAAAGGTGGTATGAGAAGATAGCCCCTTGTGGCCCCAGAACCTTGGTTCATCTCAGAGGACTGTAGCCTGGAATATGACCTAATGTGTCCTGGGACATATCCCCCCACCCACCTTGACCCTTTTTGTCTCCATGGAACTCTGCATGGCACAAAACACAGGCATCCTGGCTTTTATAGCAGCAGATGAGCAGAAGGAATAGCAAACTGGCAACTTCCAAGAAGTGAGCCTCAAATTGGAGGTCCATATCCAAGTTCTGATAGCTGGACATGGCAAGGGTAGCAAGCAGATCAAGGAAGTATCGATATCAAAGCTAGCTCCGCCTCTGCCTGGTAGGGCAGAAAAGATGAGTCATAAAAAGCCTTCCCAGAACATCAAGAGGCAAATGTTTTCTCTCATCAGATCACCTTTCAGTGATCACAGTACTGTATCTTTTTCACTCTGCACTAACAAAGACAGCTTCCATTAGATTTAAGGCCATGAAGCTCTGGAGAGGGGTCTTTGATGTCTGGTGTTCGAAGCCAAGAGAGACAGAGAAACTTGCAGGCATGCAGACACCATTCCTGCTTCTGGCTGCTTCTTAAGAACTCCTGCACATCTCCCTCCCTCTAGGGACATGGGGTTCCCCAGTTATAACCAGAAAAAGGTATAACAGCTGCTCAACGTGCCAGTATCTCTTATGCCGTCATGAGCAAAGCATATCATGAGCTGAAAGTGTGCATAAAGGCTTGCAGACACATGAACTACAGAAGATTATCCTTTTCATACATTAACTCCAAATATAGCATGCTTTTAATTTTCCATTTTAGTCTGTATCTATATCATCTATAGCTATAACTATAGATATATATATATATTCAACATGCAGCTAATGCTCCTACATAATACATCACAAAGGGGGAAAACTCATCCCACTCTCTGCCATTTCTAAATACATAAATACGTAAGCCAGGCTATTAATACTTTGAATTCTATCATAAACTCAGAAAGTGATGGAGTGGGAAGTTGGGCTGCTTGCCTGTAATGCATATTTTTAAAGAACAGAACAGAACTCTTCATCAGAATTCCCTTGGTTTAAATTATTTCATATAGAGAACAGGAGTGGGGATGGGAAGAGGAACATTTTGGGTCCAGTCTTGCAGCAGGATTTTTCTACAACAGTGTCTTCTGTTTGTTATGCAAGCTTTTCACTTGGGGCGCAAAGCTAATGAGCAAAGACAGAAAATGGGAGCACTATCATGTACAATAAATGTACTTCCATGTAAAGAATGGGATATTTGAATGGATCCTTACCGTAAACTTGATTAATGTTGTCACTGCCTGAAAAGTGCATCCCCCCCACCACACAGAGGTGCAGCATGGGGGGGCAGGGGGGCTGTGGCCCCAGGCACACATTCTTGATAGGGCACAGCCAGGTGCCCACACAACAGGCTCCTCCTGAGAGACAAGCTGTGCCCTTCGAGGCTGGGGCAATAGTGGCGCCGGTGCCTCCTTTTCCTCATGGCCAGCAAAGCCTCTGGGACGGCCATGAGGGAGGGAGGGAGGGAGGGAGGGAGGGGAGGGCACCACACCTCATGCTCTGCTTCACTGTCCAATGACTCATCCCCTAGCCCTGACACTATCTCTACCTCTGTTCCTCCAGCTCCGGGGTCCCCAGGGGCTGTGCCCTAGCCCCAGCTGCACCCAGCCCTGCTGCCTCGACTCTGACCATCTTCCCTGAGTACCACAGGCACAGAGAAGCAGAGGGAAGGTGTGCTAGCCCCAGGGCCATCTTACCCATAGGTGCTAGGGGTGTGGGGCACCCAGGCGCCAGGCTCTCAGGGGCACCAGGCCAAGAGTCTGGGGCCGAGATTTGGAGTCCGGGGATTGGGAAGAGCTGATAGCCGCTGCCAAGCAGAGAAGAGCCTTTCAGAGTGCCGCAGCTCTTCTGCTGCGAGCAAGTAAAGCGCTGAGGCAGCCAGTCAGCTCCACCCTCCTGCGTGCCTGGGATTGGCGGACCGTCGAGAGGCCCGCCCAGTGCACACTGCTCACACAAGTCACCCGGCTTCGCTCAGTCGCCACCGCCACCTCCTCGGGCTCAACTGTTGTTGCGCTGGGCTCTGCTTGCCCACCCCCAGGCGCCCAGGCACCCAGTTGCTCTGCTGCCACCGCCTCCCCCCACAAGCCCTTCCTGGAGCAAAGATAGGGGAGGTGGTGGCAATCAAAGTGAGGAGCTTTGGCTGCTCCAGTCACACCCCACCTGCCACCCCCATCTTCCATCACTGGCCTGCCTCTCTGCCTCTGCCAGCCAATGATGTGGCACACGTATGGCCACGCAGGCTCACACTGTACCCACCCGACCTCCCAGCCTGGCTGCACAGCTGCCACTGAGGGACAGCGGGCAGGTGGGTGATGCTGGGGTCCTACAGATTCCTGAAATATGGCAACCCTATCAAATATGTCAAGGGTCATCAGTTGGAAGATGGAGCAAGCTTGCTTTCTCCTGCTCTGGAGCGTAAGACTTGAACCAAAGGCTTCAAGTTACAAGCAGATTCTGACTAAACATCAGGAAGAACTTTCTGACAGTAAGAGCTGTTCAACCCTGGCAGGTAAAAAAGGTAAAGATAAAGGACCCCTGGACGGTTGAGTCCAGTCAAAGGTGACTATGGGGTGCAGTGTTCATCTCGCTTCAGGCCGACAGAGCCGGTGTTTGTCCACAGACAGCTTTCCGGGTCATGTGGCCAGCATGATTAAACTGCTTCTGGTGCAACGAACACTGTGACAGAAGACAAAGTGCATGAAAACACTGTTTACCTTCCCGCTGCAGTGGTACCTATTTATCTACATACTTGCTCATACTTGATTTTGAACTGCTAGAATGGCAGAAGCTGGGACCCAGCAATGAGAGGGAGCTCACCCTGCCGCGTGGATTTGAGCCACTGACCTTCTGACTGGCAAACCCAAGAGGCTCAGTGGTTTAGACCACAGCAGAGGTTGGGTGGCCATTTGTCACGGATGCTTTAGCTAAGATTCCAGCATTGCAGGGGGTGGATTAGATGACCCTTGAGGTCCCTTCCTACTCTATAATTCTACAATTCTATGCCATGCAAAACGTTAAGGAGATATTTTAAAAGAAAGTTGCTTACACAGCAGAAGTTTTCATTTTCTCATTTATTTTTAGTAAAGCATTTGCATGCAGCTAGGTTTATTGCTTTTAAGAGCTGTTCTTTTCTGGCTGCATTGTCCTCATTTCAAGGTATGCGCTTAGGTTTTTTACAGTGAAAATCCTTTATACTCTCTTTCCAGTGTCGTCAGAAAGGATTTGCATTTCAAGTAAAATAAACCTCCGGCACATGTGGAATTCTAGATTGTTTCTGCGCAGATGTTTAACAATAAAATCACACAAAAGAGATGCAATGTAATAAAAAAAGATTTCAATACAACACACACTGTTGGCAGAGTCAAATATGAGAGTTTTGCATCTTTAGTACTGAACTTTTTCCATACATAGAATTATACTTCCCTTTTCAGCCAATCAGCAGGCAGGCTTGGATTCACTTCCCAGCTGGCGAGGTGAGTGTTATGCCTCCATGCCCGCTGGGCTGCCCCAGAAACTAGAGGCAGCATTAGATCATGGTGGGAGAGGCAGTGCCAGCCCACAATGCCACGGAGCCAGGTAAAGGTAAGCGGACTTCTCTTTTCAGTTGTAAATGGGGAGAATAATTGCTTTCAGGTACCCACCCAATATACAAGTTAACATTTGTAAAGCCAAGTTATCTGCAAAAGGTAGGAATGTCAAACTTTAAGCTTCACCCTTCCTACCATTGTCCGCATTCTTCTACCCACCCAGCATTTGTCCAAAAATTTCCTGAATCTCTCCCATTTATTTGCCCCCCTTCCAATTGGCTCTGCCTCCTGCTACTCCAAGCCAAGAGGGGCCAGACTTGGGGCTGCAGATGCAATCAACAAGAAGACTCACAAATATAAAAAATATACTTGTAATGCATTCAAACAAACAAACAGGCAAGGCAAATACAATGCAAAAAGGACAGAGAGCAATAGTACTACTGAAAAACCTGTGTGAGATCCATTTTAACCATTTCAGCAATGTCTCAATTAGTCTTGGAAGGTATTCTAAACCAACTTTTTGAGGAATGTTTTCAAACAACTTCTTGTGTCTCAGTGACTGGTAAGCAGTGCCGGATTTATGTATAAGCCAAACAAACTATAGCTTTGGGCCCCACTCTCTTGGGGCCCCCCCGAAAAAAGTAAAGAAAAAGAAACCTGGATGCACATTTCCAAAATATAAGATAAAAAACAAATAAAATAAAACCTACATACAGCAACAGTGGTAAATGACTTTAGTTACCTATTAGGTCCATAAATTACCACCTAGCATATATTCAACACAAAAAACAGTGACAATTTGTTGTTGCCAAAGGACAGCTGGACATATAAAGGGCCCCATTACCTTCAGTAGCTTAGGGCTTCATCAAACCTAAATCCAGCCCTGCTGATAAGATATCTGTTTTGCTGTGCAGTTTTCTTATTATTGGCAGGATTTTTTCTGAGACACAAACTGGATTTTTGAATTTGTCATCCATTTTTGAATTTGTCATCCATTCTTTCTTCCCAGGACAATACAAAAATGTTGTTTAGAATACTTTCCCCGTGACTTAGGGCAAACTGGGGCATACTTTTTTTAAAAAAGAAGCTTAATAATGAAAATGAATCTGTAACTTGTTTTTCCATAGTAAAGGTAGAGGTAAAGGTAAAGGTAAAGGGACCCTTGACCATTAGGTCCAGTCGTGGCCGACTCTGGGGTTGCAGCGCTCATCTCGCTTTATTGGCCGAGGGAGCCGGCATACAGCTTCTGGGTCATGTGGCCAGCATGACTAAGCCATTTCTGGCGAACCAGAGCAGCGCACGGAAACGCCGGAGCGGTACCTATTTATCTACTTGCACTTTGACATGCTTTCAAACTGCTAGGTTGGCAGGAGCAGGGACTGAGCAACGGGAGCTCAGCCCATTGTGGGGATTCAAACCGCCGACCTTCTGATCGGCAAGCCCTAGGCTCAGTGGTTTAGACCACAGAGCCACCCTGGTACCTGTTCCATAGTATTGGTGCTTACTTGTCCTATTTATATTATTGTGTGTTTTCCTTTTCTATATGTTTATTAGAGCACTTTACAAGTATAATTTGTTATTTGTGGGTCTGATTGTTGGTTAGTATGATACACAGGAACCCTCATTATACACTGTACTGCAAATTTCAGGATTGATAGATTTACTTTCTTTCTAGGGTTTTTTGTGTTTTTTTACTAGAACCAATGAGCCTGGTACAAAAAACATATAGATAGAACAAGGTGCCTTTGAGCACAGGCTGAACCTAAACATTTGTGTTCAATATCAGAAATGCACTGGGTTCACTATCATTTCATACAAAACTCCAACCCTGAATATCCTTCACATCAGCGGCATAATTTAGGCAGGAAAAGTCATTGTTGTAACTGTTGTTGCTTTTCACTGGGTTTTCATTGAATTTTTCAAAATATAACAAATGTAAATTGCTAAACCATTGGGAATCAGAAACTCTTATCAACTTACTGCAAATCACTCGGAGATCTACCAGGAGATCCTGATCTGCTACCTTCTGCCCACCCTGGATGCATGGTCAGTTCAAGCCCTCCCCAATTCACCTCAATACACTCTTCTTTATCCATTTGCATTGTTATCAATGTGATCCTTGCTCCCATACAAGCCTATGTAGGCAAATAGTTAAGGAAGTGGATTGAGACTAGTATTGTAATGCCATTACAGTACAATCGTGTCTTGTGCACATTTAACTTACCTGATTTCAACAGTATACAGTTGAAGTCTGGCTGGTTAAAATCCTGCAAGTTAAATGCAGAGCCAACTTGAGGAGAGGGTCCTTTATGCACCAGATTTTCCCAGCATAAAAGAACTTTGCTTCCCAAACAAAGGTCTCTCCCCTCGCTAGGAATCTGTTGCTCCCCTTGAGATCTTGTGGGAACTTAGGCAGCCCCACACGATCTCATGAGAGCATCCTGGAGCTTTTGGAGCTGATGCTCCAGATGTTCTGGAAGCCCGAGGATGCTCACACAGGGGTTCGGTTCCAAGTGTTTGAGTATATGCATTTTTGAGGAACTCTTGCAAGAGAACCCCTGCGTAAGACACAATAATACTGTACTTAAAGGGCTTTCTATGCCTCTATGAACCTGCTAGGGGTTTGAGATCAGCTACATAGGCCTTGCTTGTATGCACAAAGAAAATGAGCTCAGGGTGGCAGGGCCTTTTCTGTGGTGGCTCCATGGCTATGATAATAATTTCCCCAATATATATGATCCTACCTGGGATGATTTAGGTGGGTTCTAACAACATTTTTTGCTTTTAGTGAGAGAGTTAAATAAGCAGTAGCCTCCATATTTAGTCTTATGATTTGAAGTGTTGGTCTCTCAAGCTCAAAAAAAGAAAGAAAGAAAGTGGTATCACATCATTCAAAAGATGCAGAAAAGGACAATCAAAATAATGGTGGGATTCAGGTACTTTTTTGTACACAGAAAAGCCAGCACTGTTTTTAGTTTAGACAGGATGGTGGAAGGGAAATGAGAGAGATTTTTAAATTACACACAGTGGACAAAGAAAGGATAGAGAGACCACTTTCTTTGTCCCTCAGTTCATCAACAGATGATAGCTGACCAAAAAAAGTATTAATTCACACAACACATAATTCATAATATTTTTATTTGAAAGATGTTGTCTCAAAGGACAAATAGAATTTATTATTTTATGTGACAGAGCCAATGAGGATACTGGAAAAAAGAAAATGATCCATTGATTGTGAGAATTGTGGAATTTTGCAAAATAAAACAAGATTTATTGGATTCTGCAAAAGGGGAATAATGTATTAATGGAGGAAGGTTGCAGAGTGCAGACCACCAGAGAGATGTTTTCATAGCCTGAAAGCAAATACACTCACAAAGACACCTTGGCCACCTCAATGGTAAGGCAAGTGCAAACAGAACCATGCACTCCTCTCACTCTCACTCTCACTCTCACTGCTGTCAAGCAATGGCACAGGGCACAGTTGGGACCTGATTTCTGTGCCACTGACAATAGAGGGGGTGAACAAAGGTTTGTATTGCCCCTTTGCACCCAGCATGTATAACTAAGGAACCAGCAGAAATACAGGTGCTTTGGAGTAGTAGTCAAATGGGGTCTGAAACACAGGGGTATGGAGCTGATTCTTTGACACCACTCCGCATATGACTGCAGGCTAAGAAAGAAAGAACAGCATATGCACCTCAGGCTATGTTTTCACCAGACCCGCCCTTAACTGGCACCTCTGCAGCCACCACCATACATACAAGTATGAAAGAGCCGCATGCAAGTTTCCCTAAATACCTCTCAGATCTGCTTTGTTTTTGTGCTCATACCAGAGAATCTAGTCAATCATCCAGGCTTTGGAAGGCTCTAAAATAAATGCCCATTTTGAGTAGTTTAACCGATGTCCAAGTCAGGAAGAAGAGACCACTGGGAATACGAAGATGCTGTACACCAGGCACCCACATATTACAGGCTGTTCAAATAAAACTATTAGGAAGTATAAATCTTAGCGCCTAAGGACCAAGGAGCTTAACCTGCTTTTAAAACATTTAACAAGTGTCAGTACATAAAAGTTGCTCGCGAGCAAACAGAAACTAGCTGCAGGGCGTTTGGAATGTACCCTACTGCTTTTATTTGAAAGATTAATTGTCCTTTTACGATACATCGCTACCCCTGCTATTTATGATCTGTGTTTCGCAATGAAAAACCCCAGGAGTTGCAGGAATAAGATGGATGTTGCATTATTAAAGCCGAGCAGAAGCTTGGCCAGAGCACTTCCGCATGTGTCACTCAACGTGTGTGTGATCCTCTCGTTTTATGATTGCTTCCCGCTTGTGGTTCCGGCATCTTTTACTGCTGTCAGTCTGCTCCCTGAAGTACCGCAGTGGCACAAATCCCTTTCCAACGCCTGGCAGTTGTGCCAACAGAGCAGTCTGAGCACCACAGCATGATGTGCCCAATATAATTAGAAGCTGTTTATATATAGCTTAAGTTGTTGGTTTTAGAGCCATGTTTTTATCTTTAAGTGGCATAGCTGCGATCTGCAAAGAGGAGCCTCAGATACTGTACAGATGGTTATCGGGTACAAATCTTCTCCATCACCTTATGCCATCCAGCACACTCCAATAATTTAAGGGGAGCCTCATGGAGTCACTGAAAGCTAATAAACACTTCTTCCTTCCTCTAGATTTATTTGTTTACACTATTTTAAATTACTTTAGACCATAAAGAATAACCCTCCATCCTACGTGCAATGACCTTTCTGAATGAGCCTCGACATAAAGAGCAGACACTGCAGCATTTCAAATCTTTATGACAGTGTCTGGCTGTTCTTTCAACAGCTTGCTGGCTTCCTAATGATCCTCTTTCAGCTTTATTTCTTCAAATCCATTTATTTTCCTGCCTGTGCTATCTACCAAGGACATGTATGTTTAGAGCAAAATGTTCTCTTTTTTCAAACTCTTGAATAAAGATTGAATAAAGGCTAGGATTTTAAAATTACCTTTTAAATTAACACAGGTAGAGTACTTTGACAGTGGAAAAAAGTTTAGCATCATGAGCCTTGAATTAAAGGATGCCTCAAAGCAGAAGACAGTTCTGCAGAGCACTACTGTGATTCATGATATACTGTACAGTACTCTTCTGTCCCATCAAAGTGTGCCTGATGAAGAAGAGAGCTTGGTTGCAAAGAAAGTGCTTGTTATATTGATAAAACAGACCATAAGTAACCAAGAGTCCCATGCCTGCTTAAAAATTGTGGACTATAGCTCTATCTCTCTCACACACATCTTGGATCCCAAGTTAGTTAGGGAAGGTTGGGGAGGAAAACCTTCCCATCTCCTCTTTTCCCAGCACCCTTCATAACCTCTCCAGGGTGCAGGATCCCTTCCTGGGAATGTGGGGGGTGATGGAGCACAGGAGGTGATTGAGGGGGCAGAATTGCCCCAAATTAGATTGACTTCCACCTTTGGGTTGTTTTTGCCCCCTCTCAGAAGCCTCCTGTGCCCCATCCAGTAAGTGGGGACCCCTCCTATTTGCCAAGAGGCTTTTGGGGGGCACAGTGGTGGGGAGAGCTGGGAACCTCTCCTTCCGTGAACCTCCTTAAGTTAACATATCTTCAGGTCCAATCCACACAGAGAACAGAAAGAAGGAAGGAGAGTGTTCTTTATAAAGCGAGCCCAAAATGTCAAGTAACACAAGAGACAGCAGTAGATGTGTCACATACTGGATAGAGCACACATAAATCCAGAATTAAAAGGGAGAGTCAAAGATGAAGTTGTCAATTTCAAATTCATTTGCAAATTTCATGCTATTACACTTGGACTCAGAGAGGGTTGGAAACAGTTTTCTCTCTTTGGAAAGTAGCTGTTCACAATAGCATTTCTTCTCACATCCAGTGTAAAGAGCTGTGTTTATGAGCTCTTGATGACTGGTTGCTAGTAGCTACTAAACACACCCCACCTGTTTGGGTGGAGGCCAAAGGAAGCTGTTTGCAGCTCATTGCAGCCTGAGAGGACACAAGCATCCATGGTCTGTAGCTGGCTGGCAAGATCTGGCCTTGGGAACTTCACGGTTATGTTGTTGCACTTGAAGAGTTTACTGACAGAATTTACAACAACCAGTCTAAGCACCTTTCTACTGTCTGTGAAGTTATGTAAATAAACTGATATCACACACACACCATAAATCTCACGTATTGTATCACACGGCAAGGAAACTGACCTTGCAGAAACAGCACAAAAAAATTCTGACACTTGGAGAAACTGGAAATCAGCACAACAACATTGGCATAGTTGCAGCCATGCCATCATAAACCAAGTTGTCACGAATAGGGTACAGAAAGAGCGGGGCACCATCTGCTCAGAATCCTAAATTCATCTGTATAGGGTTGGGGCAGACTTACAGCTGTCCTCTGCGTTATTCTGTTTTGGACCTGTCTGAAACTGGGTAGCCTCCCATCTCTATCCATACCAACTTTCTCATCTGATCCAGATTCAAAGCTTGCTATGTCACATGTATACCTATTCCATAATAAATATGTTGGTTATTAAAGTGCTGTGGGTTCCTAGGGTGCCCTGCCCCGCCCCATGCCACCCCAGGCTTTGCAATGGTTATTCACTGTTTTCCAGATCTGTGCCTGCAATTTAGTTGCTCTTATTTTGGTCTGACTTCCGGTCCCAAACATTTCTGCAGATACAGCTTCAGCTTCAGTTTTGCTACACATATTCAGCCAAATTCAAAAGTGAACTATCCACAAATTGGCCACTTGCAGAGATTGTCATGAGAGTATGCTACCACTGCCACACTTTTTTAAAGAAATGATTGTATTGATAACAATGATATCAGCAATGATGATTGTGGTGGTGATGATGCTAATAATGCTAGTGGTCAACTTTGAAGCACCCAGAAACACAAAAGGGTAGGCAGTGCAAGAAGAGATGCCCATGCTAAAATACCCAAGTTGATTAGAAAAGGCAAGTGAAGATAGATAGATGATAGATAGATAGATAGATAGATAGATAGATAGATAGATAGATGATAGATAGATAGATGATAGAACGAACGAACTGGATTGCAGGAATAACCGTAGACAATGAGTTTCAAAGACAAAGGTGCCAAAGATAATGGAGGAAGGTGTATGGAAACAAATGAATTCTTTGGTCTAAGGGACTAGTGCCTGAGGAACGCAGAATTTTAGCAAGCATCTGATATGAAGAGAGATGAAGCCCAAGGCAAGAGCAGCCAGCTCGACAGTTTCAAAAAGCAGCCTCACAGAACTTGTTAAAGGGTTGCTGAGTGCCAAGATTAGGCAAAATGTGCGGCAATTCTGCCATCACCAGAACTTTCTTGCTGTCAGTTCCTAGCAAAATGTTTCCCAAGCCAATTGCAGGTACAGCGTCACATCACAGAAGACAATTGTATCATGTAGAGATGTCATTCATATTTCTTTCGATGCCTCAGGATAAAGCCTGAGCAGGCCTAGACTTAGCAGTGCTTTATAATGAAATCCATGCTTGTAGGAGTTAATATGAATCTGCAGTATGTATTCAGCAGTTGTTCAGTAGAAAACATTAGAAGTCACATGGCTGGTAAAGTATGAGAAATAAAATACTAACTGGGAGAGTCTGAGGCTGAAAATATTTATTTTATTTTATTTTATTTTATTTTATAATATTTATACACTGCTTGATTGTAAGAATCCTCAAAGCAGTTTACAAAATGTAAAACAGTAAAATCAAGGAAAATTCACAACCATACTAAAACAGATTAAAATTATCTCAACTTTCCAAACATCTGGACAGGCTTGTCTAAACAAGAATGCTTTCAGCAGGCATCAAAAAGGTGCCTGCCTGGTATCAAGAGGCAAGAAGTTCCAAAGGGTAGGCGCATCCACACTACGTGACCGAGTTGTTACAAATGCACAATGGGTCTTATGTGGCACTTGCAGCAGTGCCAGTTCCTCCTATAGAAGCAATCAAGTGAGCACAGGTAGGGTAAGGTGATCGTGTAGGGAAACTGGTCCCAAGTGGTTAAGGGCTAAACAAGCCAACTGGTTATTTTTCACAGCTCAGCCAAGGGCTTGACACATACTGTTGCTTTTAGTTTGAAGCCTTGAGAACATCTACAGTAGAATTCGCTTCTCTGAAGGAATGGATGTTTTAGCCAGTGTATAGCCCAGGTGGATGTGAGTAATACACCAATTAGCCTTGTCAGCATAATGCAACACTATATGAGAGGGCTCCTTCATGGAACACTGCCTTGCCGTGCTGAAGGGGCTTGAATAACTCAGAGAAGCTATGAGCTATGCCGTGCAGGGCCACCCAAGATGGACAGGTCATAGTGGAGAGTTTTGACCAAATGTGATCCATCTGGAGCAGGAACCAGCAAGCCACTCCAGTATCCGTGCCAAGAAAACTCCATGGACAAAGACAACAGGCATATAAAAGTTATGACGCTGGAAGATGAGCCCCTCAGGTCGGAAGGCGTCCAACATGCTACTGAGGAAGAGCAGAGGACAAGTACAAGTAGATTCAGAACTGATGAAGCAGCTGGGCCAAAGCCGAAAGGACGCTCAGTTGTGGATATGCCTGGAAGCGAAAGGAAAATCCAATGCTGTAAAGAAAAATATTGCATAGGAACCTGGAATGTAAGAACCATGAAGTTGGATGTGGTCAAAAATGAGATGGCAAGAATAAATATTGACATCCTGGGCATCAGTGAACTAAAATGGACAGGAATGGGCGAATTCAGTTTGGATGACCATCACATCTACTACTGTGGGCAAGAATCCCATAAAAGAAATGGAGTGGCCCTCATAGTCAACAAAAGAGTGGCAAAAGCTGTACTGGGATGCAATCTCAAAAATGACAGAATGATCTCGATACGAATCCAAGGCAGACCTTTTAACATCACAGTAATCCAAGTTTATGCACCAACTACTGGTGCTGAAGAACCTGAAATTGACCAATTCTATGAAGACTTACAACACCTTATAGAAATGACACCAAAGAAGGATGTTCTTCTCATTATAGGGGATTGGAATGCTAAAGTTGGGAGTCAAGAGATAAAAGGAACAACTGGCAAGTTTGGCGTTGGAGTTCAAAACGAATCAGGGCAAAGGCTAATAGAGTTCTGTCAAGAGAACAAGCTGGTCATCACAAACACGCTTTTCCAACAACACAAGAGACGACTCTACACATGGACATCACCAGATGGGCAGCATTGAAATCAGATTGATTATATTCTCTGCAGCCAAAGATGGAGAAGCTCTACACAGTCAGCAAAAACAAGACCTGGAGCTGACTGTGGCTCAGATCATCAGCTTCTTATAGCTTAAACTGAAGAAAGTAGGAAAAACCACTGGGCCAGTAAGATACAATCTAAACCAAATCCCTTATGAATACACAGTAGAAGTGAGGAACAGGTTTAAGGATTTAGAGTTAGTAGACAGAGTGCCTGAAGAACTATGGATGGAAGCTTGTAACATTATACAGGAGGCAGCAACAAAAACCATCCCAATGAAAAGGAAATGCAAGAAAGCAAAGTGGCTGTCCAACGAGGCCTTACAAATAGCGGGGGAGAGAAGGCGAGCAAAATGCAAGGGAGATAGTGAAAGATACAGGAAACTGAATGCAGATTTTCGAAACATAGCAAGGAGAGACAAGAGGGCCTTCTTAAACAAGCAA